CACTAAATAGGCAGTCTAGCTGCTATCAAAATAAAACACACCTTGATTTATGAATTATTCAGTTCATTTACGCCTTAAAATCCACCGAGTGTTAATTACTTTGACCAAGCGAGATCGACATTGTTAGCTCCGCCTTCGATCCATTGCAACAAACAGCGAGCTTTGAGACTATGACCCGCGTTTTTAGCACTTAACCTGTAGTCACATCTATCAAATTTACTTTGGTTCTGAACAGTACAAACTTCTATATTATCGAGTTTTGACATGAGTCAATGCAATAAACACGTTTTAAGAGTTTCAACTTCCAAAAGCGAGTACTTTGAAAAAGGCTGGCTAGCAACCAAATGTCCTAAATACAAATCTGCCCCGGGGACAGAAGTTTTCCTACTGCGGTTAAAGCTAAACTCACGCCGCGCAATACCATATTTTAGATGTACCTAGCCACCTCATTTTCAAATAACCTCCGGACCATAGAAACCAGATTGGATGAAAACCCTCCACTTTTTAATTTTCTATATAACGACCATGATTGAAATTAACTTGGCGCAAACGTGTCATAGGAATCGTCACCCGTCTTTAAGAACTTAAAGCAACATACGATCAATAGTTTCTCATGTTTTAAGCTGTCGTAAAAACCTAATCCATCCCATAAAAAAGAATACTTTTTTACTGCAGTAATTGGATCGCAATGAATACGGCGGTTAATTTACGCTCACTATCAATGTTAAATAGTGCATTTTTTACAAGCAATTCAATCATGTGTCCACAAATATTCATGGTGGTGCAAGCGATTTCACTAAAGTTGCATTCCCTTCAGAGAAAGCGTGTATTATCAAACATGTATCGGGAAATAACTTAAGGCAATTGTTTTTTGTTTTTACTCATTTAGTCGGACAGTGCTGAATTATTTCCATATCACTGTAGGGCTTAAGCCCAAGATCAAACTGATCACATACAGGTCACCAGAGTAATTTTAAAACAATTTTTCATCTGTTCGGATGCTTTGTTTGAGAAACTAAATAACACAAGCGTGTGAGGTCTCGACAGATCTTCGGGGCGCTATTTGAAAAACTGAGAACAGGAACAGATGTCCGCAGCCCTGTAGCGTGTTTTCGTTTGAACACAAAAATTTAAAAGAGAAAAATCTCAGTCAAAATCAAGCTTAACTCCGCTATTACGAGTCAACAAGTATGCATCAACAAACGCTTTGTCACTACACTGACTTAGATTGAATAGTTTAGTTCTCGACTTGAGCTCTTTGCCTCAGTTTAACCAAACGCGCTTGCATTTAGTCTTTAATCTCACAAATGTTTATAGTTTTGCAGAGTACAGCCAAGTTAAAGAAACCATGTATCACGCAGGGAAATTAATTAGTTTTTGGCACTCACGCCTTCATCTCTCAATATGACTCAACGCCACATGTTGTCATTAACAGCTTGTCAACTCCTCACAGCAGTTCCGTTCGGAGAGAGCAAACAAGAGAAATCTATTCACTGAAAAAGATGTTTGCGAGAATTTACAACGTTATAGAAGCTATGTTTTTGCAAAATTCGAAACATGAGGTCAAAAAGGCGCCATCACTATCGGCTTGTATAAACAAACGAACAGTAATTTGTCTTCGCCTTGCCAGTTCACTTTCGATACTGCAACGAAAACAATTTGCGACTGAACAGTATTCACTAAGACATTAGCTTAAAGAATGTCTTGCGATACGATACGGTAGATTAACTGACTTTACAAGTGAATCTCCTTTCTGTAATCTTAAGGAAATAAAATTGGTATGATGAAGAATAAAGTTATTTAACTTATCTTACATGAGCTGGAAACCAATCTTAATTGCGTCTTGAAAACCACAGGTTAAATTAAAGAGTGCAAAACAGTGCTTTCCAAAACGTTACCAACCCCGGCTTATTTACGTGCGCAATAACGAAATGTAAACAGAAAGTTTCTTCTTTGATAAAACTGTTATCTATTCACATTTACTTCCTATAGAAATGTAATGGGGTTTTCATGCGACACTAAACAAAAGGTCTCGAGTAAATGTCTCCGCCAAAGAAAAGACCGATAATTCAATGTTAGCCCTCGAAGTAAGTAACAAGGCATATATATTTGCTTACAGACTTAACTCCGTGCGATAAAAGGGCGCTTTAAGCGATTTTGCCTAATTGAATCTTGCATAACGCTTGCCCTTAAAACTGTATAACTAGGAAATGAATATTTTCGTTGCCGTAATTTCATCAAACTTGCATTATTGATAATAGAGCTCATAAGCATTTTATCAAAGGTAAAGACGTCTTTGTTCACAGCTCTCTCGCTATTCAACCAATTTGTCTTCACTTAATAACGGCTGCATTAAAGAAATGAATATATGCTCACATCTTTTTTATTTTTGCCTGTAAAAATTGCTAAGTGCTTCACTGGGAGAAAAAGTCTCGAAAACAAGCACAGGTTTTTAATCCAGTCGACACGTTTCGAAAAGCGCAGAAATTTGCATGTTAGCTTTGTCTCCCACCAAAAATAGTCGTGATTTCCATACGGGTTGTACACCGAAACTCAACACCAAAAACAAAAAATAATGACAGCCACTTTCTGTTTCGGTAAACAGAGATTACTAAGCCATTTTCGTTCGTGTATAAAAATGCGTTCGGAAACTTTAGACGGTTTCTGTGAATTCTTACACAACTTCAACCGGATCTTTGTCCGTCTTAATAACGCCCGTAATTTGCTATTTTTTTCAACCGGTCATTAAATTGCCAGTTCGGAATAAATTTTCCTCGCTTGGGTTGACACCCCAAATATCTCAGGTTTTAAAGAGTTTCAATACGAGTTTTATATTTTAGTTTGGCTGGGTTTGTGCCAGGAAATTCGCAAAGAGAAGTTTTCCGTTCTTTGGTTCCTCGAAGAACTCTAATATACACGAACCTGTCTACTTTGCATATCAAGCTTGTCGTTCAATATCACCCCTCTTAATTTCGACTCGATAAGTCTTAGGGGAAGTTAGTTTGGGTTTAGTTAGTTCTCTTTGATCAATTATTTTCGAAAGGAGTCCAACACTAAATTAAGAGATACATGTTAAAATTAAATCGTGAAATATTATTTGAACAGACCAGTAATTGTGGAAGCGGGTTTTGCAAACGAGTCTCAACATTTAAATGAAAACCTGACGGTCGTACGGTAAACAGTAATAAGGCTAAGGTAGAGTTTTGCGTTCAATATTGGCGCAACGCCAGATGCTATTTGTTCAAGCAAATTTTAAAGATATTTTACTACAAACAGCGGTAAACTCGCTCCATGAAAAACCGGACAAGCAAAACTAACTTTTCCAGCGCGTAGGAAATGACGGAGTGCGAACGTTTAATTTTAGTAACCAGATTTCTGTATGATCTGCCGACACTGATAAACATGTGCTAATTGCACTGGCAGAACTTGTCAACACATATCAAAACACCGAGGAAATGATTAAAAAGAATTCTCTACCAAAAAACTACAGTCTCGTTTCGCAAATGCCGAGATTGACGCGTGCCCAGATTAAAGATTAGAAGTCTGCACTCTGGAAAAATAAACTTTAAGCGATCTCTCGAGGGTTTAAGCCAGTTTACAGCTGTAATTCTCAGCTGTCTTGATAGCTTTTAGTAGCCATGGGAACGGAGAGGCGTTGAAAAATTGGCTAAGAGAAGAATTCAGTGAAATCAAAGCTATTAAGTCGGCCCACACTAAAGCTTTCATCCATGGTTCCTTATAAAATTGTTCGGTCATGTATCAATGGAAGTACTCTCGCAATCTTTATGTCAGTAATGAAGTTCACGCACATTCCAGGAATGTTCTGTTAATAAGCCCTAATGATTATTATTGAAAGAGTAGATAACACAGCTGCCATCATCACCCAGTCATAAGCCAATCAGCTTCAGGAAAGACCTGTCATCACCTCATTTGACGCACGGCGAGTCAACCCACACGCCGATTTTCTAAGTTCTTAACGCCTGACTAGAACTCATTCGTATTTAAAAACACAGCTTTTATACCCTCATCTTTGCATACACTTGTATTCAAATGCCCCTTTCAGCGACAAATCGCGCTCCTGTGTTTAGAGTTCGCGGGCTTTACTGCAAATAAAACAATATTTGGGTAATTTTGGGACCGTGTTTAAATTTCGTGCGTACGACCCAGAGACAAACCGAGAACTAACTTTAGAAAGCAATGTGACCGCATGTTAACGTTCTCTTTCGTAAGAGGGGAAGAAAAAATATTTTTATAGCTAGTCAACCAAGGAATTATTTTTAATGTGCTTTTTTTATTTCTTCAAAAGGAAAATAAAGGAAATCTCATTATCTCTGTTCTTTGATCTGAAGTTATATACAAGTTGTTGCTTCTCATCATAAAGCTATCATTACGGAACTCCGCAATACAATCTAATATTAGCTCGGTACACAGAGGGTTTTGAAATTCATACAAACGTGCTTTTAATCCTACAACGTAATTCAAACATGCAACGCAGCAAACATCAAAAGTTCAAAAGTATGATCGAGCGCGCGGTGAATGCATTCGTGAACATTTGACGTTCACATCGAGCGCACTGACAAAAAAGCTTTGCTAAGCAAGAATTTTCTTTTTCCTAGATACAGTCTTTCGTATATTGACAATACACGCGTCATCTCAATTAACTTCGCTTCAGTTCTCAGCAGAATTATTCACATCATATAAAGGAAGACAGTCCGCGAGTTTCTCACATAACTCACCGGCCCGATTTATAAATTTTGTCGTACTTAACTTGTAAATTAAGTTCTCCGCGAGAAAACTCAGCGCGTAATTTTCCTTACTTTCCGGCGTCGTCAACGACAAGGCGTCTTGACTCTCGAATTGAAAGTCGTATCAAGCAAGACCTTTTCTCTTTCATATCTTCTATCTCTCAGCAAGCGATCGAGATATGGGTCGGGTGACAAAATACAGAATGAATTTACCGCGTTTGCAGTAGAAATGAGCTGGACGCTATGCTAATTCCATCATGGTAAGTGAGTTAATGGGATTGTCCCGCTCACACCAGAAACGTTAGAAATACTGTTATGGACAGGCATACTGTTTGCCACGGTGATCTGATCTTGCCACTGGCTGTAACGATTTGGTTGGACGTGGCTTGCACCGCCGACTTGATGGTGATTCGTGTTTGGAGCTCCGCTATCCCCAGGTAGATATGTATTTATCATATCTCCCAATTGATCCGTGCAACTACGACCGCGACCAGCTTGCGAACCAGGACTAGGCATTTCTTGTTTAACGTTAGGTAGGAGAACAGGATTGCTAGGTTGCGAATATGACAAAGGAGTAATCGAGTTCATCGACTGAGTCCCATTCAAGGTGTATACTTGGCCTTGAGTTGACACGGGATTATAAATCTGTCCACCTCCCATTGAAGTGTATCCAGAATGGTGCAGAGCATTAGAAGGTTGAAGTTGAGTAGGGGTATGCGGTGAAAGCGGATGGCCAGCGTACATATTACTATAAGGATCATTGACATTCATTTGGCTGTAGGCCGTAATAGGCCCGTAAGTAAAGCCATTCAGTTGGGAAAAATGTTCGGCCGGGCTTTGCGCAACTGATCGCTGAACAGGCGGTCCACCTTGCGCTCCGAGCATCGACAGTGTATACTTGTTGTCTTTCTTCAATAAAGTTTTGCTCTTTCGACGCGGTCTGTACTTGTAGTCGGGGTGGTCTTTCATGTGAACGGCTCGCAGTCTCTTCGCTTCGTCCACATACGGCCGCTTCTCTGCGTCTGATAGCTGTTTCCATTCGGCTCCTAGCCGCTTTGATATCTCAGAATTATGCATCTTGGGGTTTTCTTGCGCCATGCGACGTCTCCGCTCTCTGCTCCACACCATAAATGCATTCATAGGTCTCTTGACGCGTTCTGGACTGCACTTGCCATTGCTTTCTCCGTTCGGAGTATTCGAGACTGTATTCGGCGACGGTGTCAAAATTGTTGTCGCCGACATTGCACAATCAAAAGATACAAATTCAAATAAAATTACCTTGTAGCTGGCGGACGCGAAATTTCCAAGACAAAATTCTGACGGTTTGTCGAGAGTTCGTTTGTCGTTCTGTCTTGGTACGCTCTCAAAAACTCGTTACACGCTTATGAAGACCACACGTTATTTTTGACTCTCGTCTCCTCGATCCCATGTGTTATTGATTGGCAGAAAGCGGCTTCAAGGGAATAAACCAATCAGCGAAGAGCCAATGACACGCTTGATAAATGAACCTTTAGTTGCGTTACTCACGTCAAATCGTTTGACAGGCCGACAGCCAATGTGACAAGCTGTTAGCGCACTCGTCAAAGGGGGCGGGATCCGGCGTTTTGATTCCGAGATCTGACCAGCCCGTCGACAAATCAGCTAGTGTGATGCACTCGTCAGCTGGTCCAATTAAGCCCTAATCACCGAGGCCTTAGGAAATGAGCTGTCATCTGTCCGAACATGGAAATTAGCTCGGATTTTAGCAGGTGCTGTGATATAGCGCTTGACCCATTGACCGTCACTGCAATGTCGATTTCTGCACGTGCCATGGTCACCTGATTTCAGTTCATTCTCCTTTGTAAGACGCCCGTTGCCACGGTAACCAGCGATCTAATTAGCGCTGACAACGCCGCGATTGGTCGATCGGCAGTGGGGTACCGATTAATTAGTTTCTCGCGCCAAAAATAATTACGTCCAAGTTCTGGTATTGGGCAAGGCGACTGATATTGCCTGAATAAAAAAATATCAACTGTGCACTCAACAGAACATATCTTAAGTTCATGTAACGGTTGTCCTGTTTAGATTTGCGGTGCAATTTTTAGGAAGAACCGAGATTTCTTTTTAATAAAGAGGCCAATAGCTTCTCACCGTTCAAGGTTAGGATACAATCGCCCGCCGGTTGGGTCAAAACAAACCGCGTTACCTCTTGCGGTAAGGCAAGTAATATTTATGCAAAATGCGTAAGTGATAAGTTGGGTCAAAATAAAATTAGTACCCAAAGTTCTGTACGATAAAAAAAAACTCTCTTTGCGGTCCAACTACGACATAAAATTATAAAAAAAAACTTCCTCAAAGCAAATATGTATTTTTTTATTGAATGCAATAGAAAAATTTCTGATGCTGGCAAGGTGTTAATGTCATATGTAAATACCAAAGGCTTAAACAAAAATAACATGTTCTGCCTGGAAGAGTAACAAAAATATATACTTTTTTCTTTAGTAGCCTACCACAATTTCTAAACATGCTTTGAGCGAAAATTTATACAACCCATCGCCACTGCGGTTTATTTCGCAGAGCGGTTCATAAAATAGAACATGACGTATTTTCAATGTCCGTTCGCTATCACGTCCCTAAATGTCACACAAGTGACAAAGAAACATTTTTAATCTGCCCGAAATTAATCTCAGGGAAATGTAACTTTCCGATATATGTAATGTTTACTTGATCGTGGTGACTCACGTTGGCGTGAAATTCTTGTGTAGAAGGCACAAAAACCGCCTCACATCGAGCGACACTATCTCACTCAAACGAAGGACCTGGAGGGAGAGGAGAAAGCAAAATCAGACTAACGTTGTGTGTGGTCAGTGCACAAGAGAAAGAAATTAGATTCGGGTCATTGGAACTTCTACACGTGCTGCCAAGATAGTAATTAGCATCGATGTTATGTAAACTAATTACAAAACACAGTTTCTTCTCTTCAAACTTCCACGAGCGCGCAAACAGTTTCCAACAAGGCAGACTCTGATTGAAAACTCTTTGCGACCATCTTGTGTTGCTCAAACGCAAATATGTTTAATCGAAGAAAGTATAGCTTCGTTGGGCTGGATACTCGAGTACGTGAAGAAAAGTAAAAACTGTGTTTCTCGTTCCCTTTTTTTTAAACTTTGCTGAATGTTTACGAAACTTGATCGGAAATACGGCGTACTCAGAGTGAATGACAGCCAGCGAGCGAGCAACTTTAGCAGTTCATTATCAAATTGTCAATTGAAAAAGCGCATACCACCCCAGACGAAAAAAAGGTCCCCTACGGCTAGAAAACAAAAGCAAATTTAGATAAGATCACCAGCAATTTATCCCCCTGTCATCAGAAGTTTTAAATTAGATTTTGCCGTCCCGCCTACTTGACTAAACCTTCAAAATGAATAATTGATTAGCGTTGAAAGATTTTTTGGTCCGCGGAGACCAACGTTAGCGATAGGGACCACAGATTGTTCAAATACAACTACACCGCAGACTTAATTAACGCCAGGGCAGTTTTTCATGTTCAATTTACTAAAATATAGTGGCCAATTTCAAATTCTTTGAGATATGACCGTGTCCGCGAGGTTCCATTATTTTCGCACTCAACGAAGCCCGACATCTTGCTCTGCACTCAGAATTTGATGATGGTGATTTGTGACACAGCGAGCTCTTTTGCGAGGTTGGAGTCCGCTTAACGAATAACAGACTATTAAAATGTAGTTTAAATCCCACAAAATTTGGATCATTTCACGTCAAAAACCACGGTAACGATCCATAAATCAAAACATTTTGCGGACAGCAGAACTAAATGACCCTTCAAGATTCGCAGTACTATCTGATCTGTTTGGTCGCAAGCTCAAATCTCTGGGCTTCACCAACGAGAAAATAAGCAGAATCATAAGCATTGACCTGAACAATTACTTTGACGTCTAAAAAGAATTGAATATAAAAGTAATTTTCCACTTTCAGAGCCAAAAGTTACAATTCTGCGGTGTAAAATTATTCAGAAGGTCGACCTTGCGGGGACAGATTAATTGAAATCATTTGTGCAATAAATCAACAAGAAAAGACAGTGAAAAGCAGTAATTTGAAAGGACGGGGCTATACTATTGTCAAGTAAAGATAACGCATTTATTTCCTTCTATTCCAAATTTGCCCTTTTTATACGCGAAAAAGAAAACACCTCTTCTTTTGTGTTCTTTTCAACAGCTAGCATCCTAGAACGGCAATACAACTGCTGAAGCGATAAACATCACCAAGTAAACTATGCATTAGCAAATTAAACCCTGCAAGGGTAAAAGAGACTGTCATTTCACTGCTGATCCTCGCAGATTTCTCTGAAAACGGTAAGATGTTTCGTCCTAAAAAATTTTAACTGGAGGATGTTTTGACACAAATGGAAATTTTATAAGGGTAGGTACTTCAATAATGAAAACTACATGTACTACTGAACAGTACCTTTTAACGATTGGGCTCTGTAACCGACAGAGGAAAGCCCTTCCAACAAAGCAAAATAGCTTAGACAGTGGATAGTTTCATCCAATCTAGTTTTTATTTTCGTGCGTTCGGGCTGGATTTGAAAGCAAAAATTCATCATTAAGAACTTGTTTTGGTTTCTTGGGACCGCCTTGGGGGATAAAGAGAATACAGAAGGAAAGCAAAACATCGAAATCTTTCCACAAGAAAGATTAATTTAACATAACGTTGGCCCACTTTCTCAAAATTTAGAAATCACCTCACTACCTAAAGTATATATACCCTTATAAATAATTTTACCAAAAATGCTCAAAAATACATAACGGATAGAAATTGAATTGAACTGGTGTAACGGTTGTTGAGAGAGATCAAGGACTATGGCTCCTTGCAGGTAAAAATCGCTTTAAGCTAAAAACAATTCTTTTTACAATAAAAATCACGTTTAAAATTTTCAATGCGGGGATAAGCTAGTGAAAGTTTTCCACGGGCTTGTGTAAACAGGGATAAGATAGTAAGGGACAACATTTCGTATTATCTAAACATTGAAACAGCTGCAAACGCTCGACAGCGAGCAGCTACGAAACAAAAATTAGTTTTTTGAGTTTTTGATTTGTGCGTTGTTTAAATGTAGCCTAGCCTATGGTTTTAGAAATAAGGCGAGGAAATAGAAAATGTTCCAATTCATTTAAAAAATCTTTGTTAAATAAACGTTTTACACGAGTGAAAGACCTCGAACTGAGCGGATTTAAAACGAAGCGAAAACTCCGGAGATAAACACATAAAATAAAGACGGATACTAAGAGTTTTGAAACGCACAGTATTGCTGTTAGTAGTGCTTGAGAATAAGTTTTGCTTTGGATTATCCTTAATGAATCCAAAGAGAAACGTTACAAGCAATAAAAAAAGGGTTTAAGCCCCTTAAAGTACGCATCGGAGATAACAAGAAATCACTTGTTAATCAAGATGCAAAATCAACAATCACAATAAAGAGAAATTTTACATATTCGTGAAACTCGAACCCTGAAATATTTGCAGTTCTAAAAGGCATGTATCAAACCCAAAAATAATAATTAAAGCTGTGATTCTGTATGGAGCACAGAGCGTGTGTCTTAAGGGGAGGTAAAATGAAAAATATATCTAAATCTACCTTTCTTAGCGGACAAAGCTTAAAACATGTAATCAAAAGTTGCAGCGCTAACAAAACGCAGAATGTGCTAATGGAAGAACGGCAAAACTTGAGACATTTTAATTTCTGAAATGGCTAAAATACGCAGAGAGAAGTTGCACGAAGGAACTGAGGTTTTCAATTAATCTTAAGTAAAGACTCCTTGAAAGTTGAAAGATGGTGAGTCATTGTAAACCAATTATTACAACTGAACTGTACAAAGGCCTCTGTCTAAACATACAAAACTAAGGTAATTGAGGCATTAAACGCAAGGAAGTTAACGCGAATTTTAGCGAATTTTCGCACCATGGAATCTTCAAAACGTAAAGGTACTAGCGAAAAAAAAAGCTAACTAAAACACGATAAACAAAACAAAGACTGTGATTATTTAAAAAATCGAAAGATGCCGTACCTTTAATTTTACTCAAGTTTTAACGCAAAGCTGATTTAATTGGAAAGTCGAGAAAGTCGATGTAGAGAGGATACTGTTTGACAGCGAAAAACTGGAATAATTTCCCCAGATGATCCGCGGTAAAAATCTTTTTTTCCTGCTTCGCTTCTTAACTGCAACGGACAACGAGCGGATGTCCGCCTGTATTGAAAAAAATATATATTCAAAGTGATTTTGAGACTGAATACAGCCAAATTATATAAAGATTACCGAAAGACAAGTACACATCTTCTGAAAATCGTCCGAAACAGAAAACATAGCCAGTCTGACTACGCATCCGACTTAACACTAGGTTTTTGTGATAATCAACTCAAAATATCTTCAAAAGAATAGCTTTGTATTATAAAGAGACAAAACGCTATCTGCTTGAGAAAGCCACTGCTTAAACATGATATTCTATGCAAAAGATAAGTGAAGATGTTAGCGTTGTTGAAAGTTTAAAACTGTTTATATTTCATGGAACTGTACCCATGGTATTCTGAAACGTTGTTTTATCTAAAAAAAAAATACACACCAGCGATAACAGCATACAAAAACGCATTGTAAGTTTGTAGGTAGTGTTATCGCATTGCTTATGAAAAGATCATGATTTACCTACGACATAAGGAAACAGCCGTGGGCGAAATTGGTCAAGTTAGGCCATAACCACGCTACGATGCATGCGTAACATTTCATATGAGCCAATTTAACAAGGTCAAGACATAAAAAATCCAGCATTCAATTTATCGCTCGAATACGTCTTCAGGGAATCAAAAAAGTGAATATAAATCAATAGGAGGGATCAAGGTCTTTTTAAAATACAAAAGCGAAATTGATTCTCTCTGCCAAGAGCTATTCAACTTCAGTCAAAGCGAAGGAAGATAAGAAAGGTTCCCCAGAGAATATATTACAGTGGGAACAGAAGATTCAAAAATAAATTTTTCCATCCCTAAATGGGATAGTGGTCATCATGAACACTTAGAAGAGACTCAAATACATTGTCTTTTGAGAAAAAAGATTCGAGTTGGTGACGACAATTTCTGGTGGCAATATTTTCCGAAAAGAAGTTAATAACAAGACATTTTCTCGTTGAACATAACATTATGCTAATTTCATGACTCTGGCATAAGAAAATATATTTGTAACACCACAATATAATCTCCAAAGATCTTGCACTCTAACGGTTTGCTTAAGAGCAAGATATATTGAACTAAGAAATGTTACGCCCGAGGTCTCTTACAACAAATCAACTTTACTTGGAGGAGAAAGGAAAAGATCTAATCGGAAATTAAATAAAATTTCCTAATGGTTTCATACTGAGCAAGGTGTGGAAACAACTCGCAGCTTTGGTCCCACATCTGAGTAAACGTTTACAAACTAGCGCCAACATGCCGCGCGCGCGAACCTGACCAGTACTTGAAAGTGCAAAATGAAAAAAGAATAGAACCGATCAACAAACGGGAAAAGAAGTTTGTCTTAAGTAAAGCGTATTTTATAACAAGAACAAAAGCGATCACGCATGTCAAACGAACCAGGCATTGCTTGAAAAATAAGAGCAAATTTTAATTGTCGTTAGAAGACGCAAAACTCGAGACTTTGTCCACTAATTAAGGTTTATTCCGTTGAGTATTCGATAGTTTCTTAGGCATTGAGCGAACAAGGACGCAGAAAATATGTGTATTAACAACGAGATGAGAAGATCAGTCGCAACACGATGATGTAGTGTCATTTCAAATGCAAAACATCCGTGATTAATATTCTAGAGTCGGATATTTGCTTCAAAATTGTTCTTTGTTGATAGACTTTACCACAAAAAGAAATCAAAATGATTGAAAAAATAAATGAAAATATTCGGCCATCAGTTGAATTTGCCGACATTATAAGTTTAATGCATCATACAGCTCTGACAAAAAATTAAAAATCATTTTATCGTCGGCAATAAAATACATGCTTTTAGCTGGTTTCTAAGAGAATTTCGAGGTTATTAGTTCGCTAATTATGGCTATGTAATTGCGGAGAGACAAATTCGATAGAGCTTGCGTACGCTCCAAACTTGTTTTCTCACAATTACACCTATACAAAATATTGCCATGAATATTGAAAAATGCATAATAAAAGCTCCGAAACTCTAACAAGACTAATGAAACGAGAAAAAAAATATTTCAGCTTAGCAAATAATCGAAAGCGAGGATGATCGACAGTTCACTCGTAATAAACTTAATGCGAAATTAGGATTTTAATGAGCAATTTTCTCTACTGGCGAAATTTATGGAATATCATCATGCAAATTGTCATCTACAAGCAGTTCGAAAAAAAATGGTGTGGTCTTCAAAAATAATTATCGAAACGAGTAGTCATGAAAAATAGCCAGCATGTTTATACAAGTGCGTAGGATTCGAGGAAAATAAATCACTCGTGAAAATCTCTACATTTACAGTGCATATCGAAAGACTCGTTTTATCAAAGATTAATTGCGGCTTGTTAAGGGCCGATGTCAGCTTTTGGCCATGTGTTAACGACGTGCAGAGGTTGCAAGGATTGACTTTCATTCTAATGTTAACTAATTTTACTTGACCACACACGCAGCGACAAACCGCCAAAACCAAGCATATGATCTAACTTAAATATCAGTTTTTGCGTTAAAACGCGGTTGATGTAATCACGTTTGGCGCGCGAGATATGATCGGTTTCAACCAAGCCGCGCAATGGCGCGAAGTGAGTAACAAGCCACCCATTATTCTGAGAAAGAAATTAGCGAGTTATGAAAAGAAACTCACTTCATGCCAAAATAGTATTACACCAAAATTGTACGCGCAGAACAACGCGAAGTTGATAAAAATCAAATCGCTTACATTACTAAAATGGGAAGACTTACTCGACACGTTTTGCCGCTAGACACCACGTGTTGTGCGCGCCAAAGGCGGGCGGTTGTTTCAGCGACCTGCGACGATACAGCTTAGACTCAACTCATCCTCGAGGTAAAAACGGCCTTGAATATGTCGTTGTAAGGAAGAGAATGAACACTGCAAGATACTCTAAAACCTTACAATGAACAGCGACAAATAATAACATGATACCCGTTAGCGCGAATGGCAGAGCCAACTCGCTTGATTTATTTCAAAGAAAGCACGATAAACAAGCTATTCAGAGATTACAGCGCGTGAGAAAAATACAAAAACCGTCTCATCACTGTTCACAACACCTGGGTGGCGCCACCACAATAGAGAACCCGTTTTTTATTTTAATGTCCACGTGCGCAGGACTCAGGGTCTTCATACGGGTGCTTGTTCCACGCGTGGTAAACTGTGATATAGCAGTGAGAAATTGTATTGAATTTACAAGACTTTGTTTCTCAAACTAAATCACTAGTCGATGAAAAAAAAAATTGATATTCAGTTGCGTTCGGCAAGACTGAAAGTTCACAAAAATCACTTCATAGTGGCCAAAAGGTGTTTCGTGGTTCTCCAAAAAATTTTGGGAAAAGTCAGTATCTCTTTATGAGGCAAGAAAAAAAATCATGACTTTGCTTCTGTTCGAGCAAAAATTTTCATACAGAGTTTCTAATAAGACGTAAATTACACTATTATACATTTACAAAAGCCGAGAGCAAAGTTTAATTTTGAAGGCTATAATAGAATCTTGACATTGAAGATTCATTATGAAAATGCAGTTTTAAAAAGCAGTAATTTGGAATCCAGTGAAAACTAAGTCAAGTGCTCAAAATCCCAGGCTGTCGGAAAAGAAGCCGTTTGCTCAAAGCACTCAACCGTCGGAAGTTTACAGCAAAAAATAGGACCGCTATCAATTAACTTTGCAGAAAACTAAACTAACTTAGGATACTTATAAACCGACTTTAAACTGAAAAGATGTTAGCGGTGCTAATTGAAATCTTAACACAATATTGCAGATTTCCACGCGGCTTCTCAAAATTATTAAACTGGCTCAACAAATGTGATTAGATTAACGCGGGCAAGTTTTTGATATGTTCAAGTTGTTTTTCGTGCCTTTTCATCGTGAGAAAGGACTGTTCACTTTATTAGCAGGAGTTAATTACCTTAGGTGACAGTTCTTGATTAGATGGAAAAAAAATCAAAACTCGAACTCCGTGTGGCTTTCAAAATTTAAAAAAATGAAATTGACATTGTCGATAAAATATTCACAAGACGGTGAAAATTTAATTAAGGTTCGAAATCCACGAAAACGCCCAGAAGAGAGGTTTCTATAAAGACAGAGCTTACAAAGGATAAGTATAAAGAAATGAGATTTTTGGATTTTTCCCTTTAAAACCGTTTGATTCTACCAAGGAAAACTCGTTTCTCTATCGTTTGTAGTACTGCATGGGTTGCTGAAAATTTTACAAAACATGAAATTAGGCTGCTTTTTAAAAGCATTCAGAAAAGACAAGGGAATATTACAAGATAAGCGGATTAATTTACAGAATTGCCATTTCTTTGTTTTGATCCCTCGGGTTATATGAAGCTTTATAAATTTTTATTCGCTGACGCAAAAGGCCCGATTCCTAGTCGCTAAGGCGTGTTTGAGAAACACATACGATTCAATTTCCTCTCCAAAGTTGTAGACTATTTCCCGATCGTAAATATTACTTTCGCTTTATCCACGTCAGGCGGTCAGAATTTTAAAGACCTCACAGCCAGGGGAAAAAATAGAAAGAAACAATTATTTTCTTCAGACATCTGTTCAAACAGTCAGAAAATACTGCAGCTCAGAAAATGAAACTCGAGCTTTAAATTAGATGTCGTTATCTGAGGCTTTTTAATTAAGTATATAAAGAATCTTGCCCTCTTTTCGACAGAACGTTTTACAATACTGCTGAAATGTAAAAGTTTGCTTAATATGGTATTAAAGACTACTTTTTCAAAGAAGTCCTTGATTTTAGCGCGCACTATTTTGGTCATCATGACAACACCCTAGGGCCCTTCATGCGAGACTCATATCAGACCCTATAAAATATGACCTATCTGTGCGAGTGGCCCACAAAACTTTGGGTGTAACCGCACCGTTTCATGAGAAATCAGTGGTCATATTTTCTGATAAAAAAAGTTATCGCCCTCTCCGACCCAAAGGTGAAAAAAGAGTTAGAAGTTTGAAAGAAAGACAAAAATTGCGTGCCTCCTGCTTCTTCGTGAGGAACTGGTCTATTAAAGCGGGGTGCCCACACTAACGTATGGCGAATAATTAACGCTTGAAATCCTCATTAACCTGACCAACGTGAAGTCTCTAGGGGGTACTGGGGAAGTTTCGACCTACAATATTATGAGTTCACGCGGTTTTATTGTTTTCCGTTTTAAACGCTTTACTTGCATGTTAAAACTATTCTCCCCTGCAACTTAACCGTAGCAAGCATACCAACAGGCATGATTTTTATTCCATCGAGCGCAGTTTCCCTTTCTCTGATACAATTCTTTCCTTACAAAAGATCAACATTTTGTGAATTTGATTTTGAAGTCCTAATACAGCAATTTATCTGCTCGAGGGTTTCAAATTTGACAAGTCTTGCCAAGAGAATCCCAGAAACAATCATAGCGACGGACATCATGTTATGGCCAGCGAACTGTGTTTATAAGATGCTCCTAAAGGACTCTTCTTTGTAAGAACGTACACTTCATGAAACTTGAATATCTGAGAGGCTTGTTTTCAAAATCGGATGATAATGGCCGAAGTATTCGCTACACTATCATCGACAAAATAAGTACGAAAATAAACTCGTCTTACCAAGACGGCGTTTCCTCCTAGAGGCTCCCGCAAAGAATATCACTGGATCCCAGCAAACCATATCAGAAACGCAAAACAGACAACTACAACGTCTCAATAACGACGCAACATTTAAGCTAAGCCGACACAAAAGCGTTCGCATCTCAAATAATCTAAAAAGCTATTTTGTTCAAGAATACAAAATGCTTATTATGTTGTTTGATAGTGAATGACGTGCACTGAAGTGAAGCATTGTGCAGTGTGTTTACAGCTATACAATAATACTTTTAACCTGTTTTACACTGAATGAATGGCTCGAATAGAAAGGAGACCACAAACATGCCCCAAGCGAACAAAAGCCAGCCAGCTAATTGAAAGTTCCCAATACAAAGTTTCTTTTGTTAGAAATAATGTTCGGCGCATTTGAAAGACAACTAAACAAAAGCACGGATGAATAGTGAAAAAGGCTATCTAAAATTGTTATTGCATATTTGCTAATGGTCTGACAATCATATTCCTTCGATGCTTTGATTCTTTGGTGAGACTTTTCGAGCCTCACTACACAGCGTTTAACAATTTCTACAAGAACCACAATTGTGTGAATTTAATTATCTACTTTTCCCTAAGACTCATTTCAGCTACAAGAACGCCTTCTAAAATGAACGTCTTTCACTGACAGGAAACTTCCGCGAAGGGCTAATTTCTTTTCCCTTCATCCGACTAACAGCGCGGAAGGAAAAAAGCAAAACAAAATAAAATACAAACCCAAGACCCATAAAAACCTTCAAAATACTACGTGATTCACTCGAGCAAACCATCAACATGTACTACATCTGTATTTGCACAGATTTGTCACAAGATCTCTATTTGATGACTTTAAGAGCGTTGTATTTGAAGGTAGCAAAAGCTTTAACAATTGGCATACATAGAAAAATGTGTCCGGCGTAAAAGTCATATGCTTCCAGGCTCAACTGTCACTGGAGGAGTACAATTACAATTTATACAGGAAGCAACATTCACGACGAAAAAACATTCAAAGATTTCGCTGTAAGCTACTTAACCGCACTCAGCAGGAATTTGAAATGTAACTTTTTTCGGCAGTTACTGTAGGGCCTCGCGTTCCTTACTAGTCAGTCTCATTCTGGGGGCGGCAACAGAGACCACTCCCATATGAGTTGAAAACTAACGCCACAGAAAGTATCACATTTCACGTTTAAAAATGTCAACAGGAGGAAAATATAACAACCAGAAAAATGTTAGGAGCACCGTGTACTAAGCAACGCTATGGTAAGAGTAGATAGGCGGCCGAAATGTCAGAGAAATGGCTCTGATATATTCCGCTGACTCAATCTGCTTTAGCAGGTGACAACACTTGTCGTGCCTACAGTAAACTACTGACTTTCAGTTCTTTCAAATGTTCTCATCTTTTAAAAGAGCTAATACTGCTAAAGATACAATTTGAACTGCATGCTCTGTGCCTAAAGGTGTTGAACAAAAACACACGTAACCTGCACCCACGCCCAAAAGACTGAGGATGCCAATATTTTTAGCAATAATAATGCAAAGGAAGTTAATGTAGAGTCCGTAGAAGTGGCAAGTAGAATCAGTTTAAGCGTTTCATCGAGCTTTATTGTGTCACTCAGATTAAAAGAAAATGTTAAGTGCATGAATGACAAAATAATACCTTGATTTAAAACAAACAATCTCTCAATCATAAAAACTTTGGCGAGGGCTTGAATTTCTTAGAAGGCAGGCCGACAAGTTTTCGATATCTTGATTTAATTTAAAACCAAAAATTCTTCCTCATTATTCAGTAAAACAAAGTTCGACGTTTCTAGTGCATAAAATCCCATTGACCGGCTAAACATTTGAAATGAGCACAAAAGAGGTTTAGTTGCGTTTAAAGAGAATCACTAAGGATATCTCATTGATACAACTTGGACTTTATCCACAGAGGCCAGGGTAGGATCTACCTTGCATTGACCGCGAAAGCAAGAGCTTTATCAGCGTTCTACGTTACCCCCGACAAAGTACATAGAAGAACAGTACCAAAGGAAAACCATCTCACTTTTCCGCCCTCTTATCCAACTAATACCACAATTTTACAACACTTGCTTTAAGTATGTTATGAATATTTCATTCATAGGATTTAAAAGAGCCATGTCACATTATTTGCCATCTTTTTAAAAAGCTACAATGTGTCTTGCCATCAATTGAACTACAAAAATAATGGTGTAGTTTTGTTATTTAAGATTATATATAAAAATTGAAACTGTTTCCTGTCCTCTGTTGCTACGGATCGGGTGAGGATGGACATGGATAAAGGTGAAAAAATTGGGCCAACTTTTTCAAGTTTTAATGCTACGCTGCAAAAGTCACCAAAAAGTATTAAGGTAACTGTTCCCTGGTGAAATTTGTTTGACGTCTCCTTCAGAACTTTACAGGAGCATTTTGTGGATGAGTAAAGGCACCAAGTAATGACTTTAGTACAGAATTGACCTGAAACAGCAATATCCTCGTGACATGGCACCTTTAATGGAGCCGAAACCAATTGTGGAATTGCACACATTTTAGACATCGTCAAATCATGACTCAAAAGATACGACTTTAGATATTTCGAGCAATAAATATTTGCCGTCTGTCTCCTTTAAATTAACACAATAAAAGCAAACGAGGAGGCCGAGAGAAGGGGGGAAGTGCTTATACACTAAATAACAGTTTGCACTATTGTTAATGACTGAATTACGTACAAAAGACGGAGGGTAAACTACGTAAAAACGTAACAGTGGAAATGCCGAAAAGCACGTTACACTATTTTCATTTCGTTTTACTACTCATACGCGACACCTGCAGTGGTGCAAAGAGTTACGTTCGTGATAAAGATGGCATGCAAAAAAATGAACTTCCCTTACAGCGTTCACGTCATTCTTAAGGATGCGGGCGCAAAAAGACATTTAAAATAGTGCGAGATATCATTGTGTGATCTCGTTATTTTACATCTAACCCTACACGCGACGATTACACACCAAAACGGGAACGTCATTTCCCCACGCGTCTGAGGTATTCTGAGCTGTGCGGTTCTTTAGATCACAGTATCAGACAGAACAGTCATAAACAAAAGCGCAATTAGCAAGTCTACATTTAGAAAGATGTTTCCTCTATAAACCAAACAAACAATAAGACGGTCTTTTACTGGATAAGTGGCGGAACTTGTAACGGTCCGGCCAGTCTATAGGGAACTCCCTAAAATTATATGTCCTGCGTCAAGGATGTATCGGTCCAGACCTCCTGCTTGCTCGATACTAAAGATAATTGCAGAAACGGTAAAGAAATATCTACGTGAAGTCACTTTCAAATTAGAAATTGCTGACGCATAAGAAAACCACGGAAATGACAGTTAATAATTCTAGAATGTGCCAATTTATTGTCACTAATTACAAAAGCATTCTAAAAATATATATATCAAAATATAATTCTTCACATGTCTGGTTCAAAAGGGAAACGTCTGGACTGTGGCTGAGTAACGGTTTGTAAAAAAAACCTTGAAAACCAAAAGCTTTACCAGACGCAGGTTCACTAACTTAAGTCAAAACACTATACCGAAAGGGAAATCTGTTTCATGAAACGTCCATTTACGTCATGTGGGTACTAAAGATGTACCGCTCTAATTGAAACATTCATTCTTTTTTCACTCAAACACCAAAACTACTCGTCTTCCAACTGAGTTTAGGTTCTCAAAAGTGAAACGTAGTTTAAGTTGAAGTTACAGAGCTTTATTTTGAATTACAAAACCCCAGAGAAGGCGCAATAATTCTCATTAAGAGTAAAAACATAAATGCCTTCTCCTTTATTTCTCGCGTAACAGAACTAAATTTCGTTGCAGTTTAGAAGGATCAGCATCAACGGCGCACCACGGAAAGACCTTGTTTACTGATAGATGTTTGAGAATAACAAGCTCGCGGATAAACATCCTCCTTGATTTTATCACTAACACGTGTTTCTTTCCATTTCGGCAAGGTTTTGTAGTGGTTAACCGATTTAGCGATTGTAAGATAAACCGCTTGATCACTAAGATAATCACGCAACAATACCACACCTCTCATTCAAACACACTGTCGCAACACTGGCCAAAGCGCTTGGTAACATGCACTAACAAACGAATCGCACGGCCGTAAAAAAACGATTTCCAAAAACGAGACCCGATAATCAAAATTTTTAAGCAAGCTTTTAGCAAAATATTATTGTTTCTTTAAAACGCAAAAAACTGAATGTTTACGCCAGGATTTACGAAATGTGGTTAAAAATTCATCTACACTTATTCTTCAATATGTCCTTAACTATTGCTAAAAATAAGTCAGCTACTCTGGAAACATTGTGCAATCTAGAATTTTCCCAAACATTTTGAAAAAGGGTGTTTCGTATTGCCCAAAAACGCCTACTAAATTCTCTCACATAATATATCATCGTACTTAATAAAACGTTCGCCGTTGATTTGCAAAACAATTACTTTGAAAAGGTCACTCATTTCACAAATTTCCTGACAAACATTATTGTTTTCTAAGGTCCCTATTGCTTAAAAAACGGTTAATGAAAGTTCACTGCACGCATTCATGATTTGATAAATACCACCGCCAATATCTGCGGTTATTTACTGCACGTGCTAAAGTCCTTACTTTGATGGTTCCACTTGAAATTTAGAGACCAATATTACAGAAATCACAAACTTGTAGCCACAGAAGTTAACAAACTTTTTCAAAAACCCACAATAATTACAAGACGCTACCTGAAGAACGAACTCGATTTGATTTTCGTATCATTGACATGCTCCGATGTCAGTGTTTGATTCAAGACGGTCAGATAACCTCAACCAAAATACAACGTCGTCCACATCATAAAAAATGAAGATCAATATTTATGGATAATTGTGGTGACGTCGAGTGTTACAAGATTCTTAAACTATGGAATGACGCAGGCTTTACTACTAAGCAGCATATTTTTTAGACGCATGAGCAACATCAGTACCTTTCGACAGATTCCTGTACCACGTTTGGCACCAAATTTTACTGACGAACAAATATCACACGGCTGGCAGGAATATTAATCACAAACTATAATTATTGAGTAGGTTGTCACTGCACATGTAGGCGCGTGCTAAGTCACACAAACGAGAAAGAATAATAGAAATTGACAGCCGAACCCGGAATTCATTACCATTAAAATGAGCCAAAATTCATCAATGCACATCACATTCCAAGAGCACATAATTTACTCAAGCTATATAAAAGAGTTTATAGTTCCAGTGAAAAGGCGCTATTGTCTAAAAGGCACAAAGAGATTGACCTTTACAGTCTGAAAATTTTCAAGAGGGGTAGTTGTGTATCTAAATTCACAGACCCTTTGTGCGCTATGAAGTCGGCTGTAAAATATTTTCATAAACTTATTAAGCAATCGTTTAAAATGCTTGCGCACGAACAAAGAAGGAAGGAACAACAAAACAAAAACTATAATTTAACAAGAAGAAAAACATATCGCAATAGCACATTAAAAACTGAATTACTGTCCGCTAGGGCGGACAGCCTCGCGAAAATGGTTAAAATTCATGCGATACTTCAACTTTTGCGCATGCTTGTGCTTTGCTTTCTCTAACCACGCGTTTTTTTCTTTTTTCAGATCTTGACACTTTTGAGGCTCTACATTGTGTATCAGATGTACATCATTCAGCGTTCTTTTACGAACAGAACTAGAAGTTGTTCAATGCACTGTCACAGTTAGATGGCGAACAGTTTCTTGTTTTTCTTTTGAGTCAAACTAAATCGAGAGCACGCGCGAGGGCGAGTTTTTATTTTATTTTTTTTTTCGCTCACCGCGCTTAGCTCTAAAGGAAGAAGGACGGCCGTTCGCAATCTATGTCACCACCTTTTCAACAACTGTTACTACGTTCAAAGTGATTTTCATTTCTGTTCTTTCGCTGCCCTACTCCCTATGTGAAAAGTTAAATGCCTGCTAAGAAAGATCGCTTTGAGACATCGCATCGCTTTACAAAGAGCGGCGCGTACATGATAGAGCATTTAAAGGGTTTTTAACTTAAAGACTGACCACAATGTAAGTTCTCCACACGATACCACTGCTTAATCCAACATAACGGTCATAAGAATAAAAGAACTTATCAGCAAAGAAACAGGTATTGACCGCCCACATGGCCGTCTTCGTGCAGCAGGATGCTACGCAAAGCTAAAGGTGATCTTCGGCTTGTCGATCATCGTCTCTCATAAATTCACTTTCCTGGACTATTATACTTTTTTTCCGAAATTCATCTCCCACTTAAAGGTGATCAAGAAAGCAGCGCTTTAGGTCAAACTGATTATAACAATAGAAACTATAACACTGTGTCCTCACTAATAAACTATCAAGGATTTTAATGACATCGGTTTTAAATTGACGCAAATAACTGACCGGGTCTCGTTGGTGTTGAAGCTCCAATAATTCTTCCAAATTTATGTGAACTTCGCGATCTGTTCTGGGGTTACCTAAAGCGACAAAGAGAAAAAATAATTTTCTTTACGTCCAGTACATTTTCTTTAGTCCCTCTGTAATCAGCCACCAATCTCAACCCGGCGTATCGCACCGTGCATGTTCTAGCCTGCCAGCAAGCTCTTTATTTAAGGAAGTCACGCGAAGTCACACGAGAACCACTCGCGAAAAGAGACGGGAATGCCTGCGGCTCGCTTTGCTCGCCATAATTGGAGAGCTTGCCCGCAGGCTTCCCCCACCGCCCCTTCCCCCTTTCCTCAATTATTACAAGACATATGCATAGCCGGCAAACAAGGTGTACTTTGCAGTGCGAGCAATGACACAAATGCTCTCCCGCCATATTTGATGTAGAAACTGACAGAGAGTTGGGGCGAGTCCAAAAAAACTCTTGGGGAGAGGACGACGTGTCTAAAATAGAGAAGGGGAAGGGACGAGAACAATTTCCCCTTTCTCCTCCCTTAACGCGTGACTTTCTCCTTGTTCTCTGTCATCCCCACACTCCTTACCCACTCCTCCTTGCCTGCCCTCCTCCCTTAGTTTTTTATTTGCTTTCAAGATGGCGGCCTGATGCGATCAATGTAACCAGCGTTCGTTAAAACGGCTAACACATGTACATCGCTCCTAACCTAATATTCGAACACCAGTGTTGATACACTGATGGAAGGCAACAAAATAAATTTAAGGAAATATAACATCGTAATATAAATTATGTCCAGTGACGAGCGATAAACGTAGCCTGACAACAGGAGGCCCCTCAGTTCGCTTCTGTGCCACCATACATGGAAGTAGCGTGCAAACAAGGCTAAAACCTTCTTAACACAAATGTTCTCTGTGGTAAACGGTGAAGCACAGAGACTCTTGATCCTATGAAAGTATGATTTACCTCGGTTTTGAAGGAGCACTTGGTAAACTCCAGGTTGTGAGCACGCGATCGTTACTGTGATATCAGATTTTCTGTGAAGGGAAATAAAATATCTAAGTCTCTCCCCGGAGTCTCCAAAGTTAAAAGTATCTTGTACTGAAATACAGACGGTTCTCTCTCTCACCGGACACCACCTAGGGTTGGTCCCTGCCTTTTTTTACTCTCTTATTTGACTCTGTAAGAAGATCATCACTCAAAGATTGAGTACCGGTCCCAGTGGTGCCCGTCTAAGAGAGACTTGACCGTGTAATGTTGTGGTTCAATTTTATCCTTGGTTTAAAGTTTCTTTCCCTTTGTTTTAAACTCATTATCACACATTACCATACCCCAAAACAAAGAGAAAGAAAATTTAAACCAAGGATAAAATTGAACCACAACAAATAAATATCAGGGGCGTGGCCTAACGAAAAAGTTTCTGTCATTTTTCTTGCAAGAGGGGATAATATAAAAACCCTGCAGCAAAGACACTGACTGGTGAATCCAATGTTGGTTACCTGAGAAACCTGACATTTTATCACTTCAGGAAGGGATGATTCCAAAAGTTCATGTTAAGCTATTTTGGATTTCTATCACCACACGTTTTGTTTACCAACATGGAATAAACAGAATTTGTGAAATAAACCTTGCTTTTAAACCCACCTTTTTTCAAGTGATCTTTGACTATGAACATGCGATATGACGCCTTCCTTTTCAAGTTGACACAAACTTAATTCTACAGGCAAAGACGGGTTTCTCTCAGATACAGAAGGATCTTTGACAATTCTCTGTAAAAATACAAAACAACTATATAAAAAGGAACGAAAAAAACAGTAAACAAGGAGGCAAGCCTTGAGGTGTGTCTCCCTAAGCATAACCTGAAATGATAAGTAACAAGGTTGTTTAAAAAGCAATTTTCGAGGCCATTTTTCACTTTGACTTGAACTTGCCTGCTGAATGTTTGTAATGGAAAAATCCAAGCTACATATTGGCCACAACAGTGACTTGCTTTTTCTTCCTGCTTTCTCCGTTTTCTTTCCTTAAACTTCATTTCCACCAATAATAATAATTTAGGAATTAATTACCTCATTGCCATTAACACTATCAAAACGTTTGAACAAGTCGAATTGTAGATATGCCCCGCAAAATGGACAAAACTCTTACTAAGTAGACGACCTGAAAAGAGCCTTTAGCGACTGAATAAAATATTGTAGTTACCTTTGATGAAGCTGTTACTGCTTTTGTTCTCACTGCATTTAAATATTCTGTGACAAAAAAGAAACAGAAATAACTCCAAACTCTCTTAACCTGCAATTCTTGTGTTTCTTGGTGTTGTAGAAACTATTTTGTTTGACGTTTGTGTATTGTTCAATGCCTTTATCTCTTGTTTAGAGCAATTTTCAATTGAGTGTTGAAATCGTGTTGAAAGTAATCCAGGATTGAATTGGTTTTGCTTTACTGTGCTGTTTGATTGGTCTAGAAAACTCGCGCCACCTTCTCAGCCAATCAGATGTAAACTAAAACCAATCGCTCCTTGGTCACTCGCGTTTTCCCGCGCTACAGGCCGGTTACACGCGTTTACTTCGAGTTGCCATTGGCTCCCTCTGATAATTTCCTTTACTCTGATTGGCCGTTGTGATTACTTTGGTTTTGGTTTTCGACACTCAATTGAAAAGCGCTCTATCGGTCATACAGTAATCGCACCACTGTAACACTAAGAAACTGGCAATACCCTAGAAACTAGTTCTAGCTGTGAGTTTTAACTTTTTCACTCCCAGATTGAGAAGCCAAAGTCAAAATTTTTAAAATGATGAAAAAGAAATAGTACCATGTGAAAGAACTACCAAAGAGGTTTTCATTTAGATGTTCACGCCGCAGGATTTCGTCCACAGAGTCAAAAATTAGAACCACCTTGCAAGACTCCATGAGGCACTCTAAGTGTAGAAGGGTCTGGTTGAGTGAGACCCCTTTAATACCTTACAAACCCTTGGTACCAGGGAGTTTTATTACTAAATCATACAAAAATCGAGCAGAGAAGATGTGGCAACCACAGACGCGAACTATTTCATCCTAGGATTTTTCGAAAACAAAGTTCTGTAGCCAGAGCATGCTTCGCTAATGATGAACCAGTAAGGTTGTTCAAAAGTTGCTTTTGTGTTAGCCAACGGGCAGCCCAAAAATCCTTATGTCCCACCAGGCATCAATAAGGCTGTTCTCTAGTACATGCCATGTACAATGACCTTCAACAATTGCCAATCTATTCTGATGAAAACATGTTTTCTTTGTTTCTTTGTTTGTTTGGCATAGCCATAGTTATTAGAGGAGACTGGTTATGAAAGAAAACAAACATCAAATACAAAAACAACAGTGCTACAGTTTATGTTGGAAGCTCCCTGAAGGTACACAATCCTTTGTTTTTTGTTGGCAAATTGCGACATTTTTATTGGTCAGTAAGATCAAAATGACGGGAATACAACTGAACGTTGTGTACCATCAGGTCCACAGAAACATATAACATATAACGAGTTTCGTAACCATTCCCATCTATTAACTACGGCATAGCTGATACCAATGCACTAAATGGTACTACAACAGAGCTTAGCAATACCTCTGTAGATGGACACTTGATCTTTTAAATAATCCTCTTGCTTGTACAAAGTCTAAAAATTAAAATAACGCACATATATAGCAACATACAAAAATATGCACTAACCAACTAACCAATAAACAACCTAGAGTGAAGTGAGGTCCTTCCATCCTTTAAGGCAGACATCACCAGCCGATCTGACCTTACTCAATTGACCTTTTTACCGATACGGTGGCCATATTGAATTAATTCAATTTAAGGAGTATTGCAGGATGCCCAGGGGACATGAGCACATTTCGTTTGTATTTTCGAGCGCTTTTTGGGACATTTTTTCGTAAAGTTTTCTTAGAAAAAGATTGTAATGGGAAAAAAGATCCTTGTGCCGTGTTTGGATGTAATAATGATCGCCTTTTTCCCGAGAAATATACAGTGAAAGACCATATTTCTAATACTAAACTAGAAAAAGACGATCATTATTACATCCAAACACGGCACAAGGATCTTTTTTCCCAATCTTATTCTAAGAAAACTTTAAGAAAAAATGTCCCAAAAAGCGCCAGAAAATACAAATGAAATGTGCTCATGCCTCCTGGGCATCCTATAATACTCCTTAAATCGAATTAATTCAATATGGCCGCAGTATCGGTAAAAAGGTCTATTACACGTGATTAATAATTTGTAAGGGTAAATAAACTTGTTTCTTTTATACAATGAAGTTTTTAAAGAAATGATAACTCAGCACCTGTTTCCTATTGAAAACAGGGCTCTTACTTCCAACTGCCGCGAATAGCTAGGAAAAGTAGGTGGGGGTGATGTTTATAGTAGCTGGGGAAACACCCTGCCCCCAGTCCTTAGTGAAACCCCTGGGAAAGTGTACTAAAAAATACAAAGTGAGTAAGTCTCATGAAAGTCACACATTCTCAGACTCAGGAACAGCTACTTGGGGTGGACAGAATGTCTTGTAAACTTTACCTATAGCAATTTCAGCCATAAGTATGTGATTCTGGATAGTTTCCAGGTTCTCCAAGATTTTTCTTGCAAAGCGGATAATACAGCCTGCGAGTACATCCATCTCTCCTTGCTCCTCGCTGGAGATGTCCCTAGCAGCAAAGAGCGTGGAGAGTTGGTTGTATTCACAGGCTAGACCCATAAAAGAGCTAAGGAACTTACCTGATTTAGAGCTGCAGGCAAAACACATACTGCAATTCGAATACATTTCGTTACAGAGTCACTTAGCTATGGTCCAAGGTAACTATTGACAAACTAATTACCTGCAAGACATTCTGAAGACTTTTAACTTTTGGTGCAAGTTGGAGATTACGCATGAGTTTGACCTGAACTTCCTGAAAAAAGAGAGAATTAAAGATACAAACAGTCTCCTGAGTTTTGGCCAGATAAGAAATTATCCCTTTAAACCATAATATCGAAATTCAAATTCTCATTTGTTGTCCCTATGCCTTGCCTCTAGAGATGATAGGGAGAAGTTGTTTTAATGTCAACCAAAATCATCTTGTGTGATCATGTTCCTAATTCTTGTTACCCCTTTGTTTTGCAAGGCAGGGAGAACTTTGATGCTTATCACTCTTAGGGTTAAGGCACACCGTTGATAAAAAGCCACCTATTTCTATCATCTACAACTGCATAACATAAACCACATTTACCCATTTTCAACAAGAAATGTCAATTTTTGGTCAAATTATTTGAACGATTAGTTAATTAGTTTTTTGGTAAAAGAAACATCCTTTTGGGTTTATGCATACATAGCCAGCAAACATTTCGTACATCTCTGATTAATCATTTTCAAACATTCTGGGAACGAAGCACTTACCAATCTAGTGATGACCTCTTAATTTTACTTTAAACTACCAAAATGAGTGTAACCTTCAAATGGTATGAATTAGCTAAGTGAATTACTAGAGGCTATCTATTTCCTGGAGAGTCAACGGGCAAAAATGCGATGATGCACACTGAGAGTGAAGCACAGGAGAGGAGGAAGTGTTATCTACTTTCCATCCCATTATGCATCACTTTGCTGTCATGTTAGCCTGCGTCAGGCTCTCAAATACTACGGACATTGAAAAAAGAAAACAACAAAAGCGGAAATAAGAAGCGTACAGTCTGGGAAAGGGGGCGATGCCAGGAAAAAATATCTACACATTTTTCGCATTACTTTTTACCGATTGACTGACTGCACTACCATCAACGGTTTTTCTCACACTGAAGAAGGGTCATATACCCGAGTATAACATTTGACATTTTTCAGTGATTTTGTTGCCTCTGGGTCCTGCGTCCCTGACACATAAAAACCCCTAAAGACGTAAAATAATTCATGGCATGTGTCCCATAGGATGCAAAGAATGATCGATCGATCTGAACATATGTATTTGTAAAAATATCCGGCCCGTTCAAGTAATTTCTTGGGCAGTTATTACGGCTGTTGTTTAATGATGCATATTTCTTTAAGCCATTGTTGCACTTTAAAACAGGACAATATTTTAATACTCAGTATACTGTAATATGTCCTGTAATGTCTATCTTCAGATTAACTGTATGGTTACTTAAAAGCGCAAGCATTTATTTTTTAACTGGCACTCGTTGGTTCTGGACTGGGACTCACGATGTTTCACAAGATGAGTCCCATGAATCACCAAAATTAGTATTTACCAAATCAGTGAATAGCACTTTCTGTGTGTTTTGATTGGCTCCCGTGACTCAGAACATCCTTGGCTATTCACTGTTTTGCGACCAGAGCCAAGATAGCATCTCACTTCAAGGCATTTTCAGAAGATGAAATTTGAGCAATAAATGAAGCAGTCATACGAACAAAGACCAAGAAAGTGACTATCTTTCGCTTGTTGGTGTTTACTGGTAGGTAGAAAATTATTTTCATGCTGAATTTGCAACAAAATAGTAAAAATGCAATTGACAAAATCACCGAAATGTTTGTAAATTGTAAATAAAGTTCCTCCTAAGTGAGGTTTTTAATTTACAAAAAGTTGCTTTTTTCATTTCTATCCAACTGATTTGGAAAAATACTAAAAGAACTATCCCCCTCTTGGTGAACAGAGCTAGATATATGCCTCGACGCTTCGCGTCTCTGTATATCCACCACCATTCACCTCCCCTTTGGAAGATAGGTGTATAGTATTTGTAACGAAATCACTGACTTTTTGATATTTCTTTACCAAGTATCACCTCATCAGCTACTATCTGGGAGCCTGGAACAGGCTATTGTCATGTCAATTCACACATTCAACAAAGGCAAAAGCACGCAATACAACCATACCTGCTTAATTTCTTGGTAAAAAACGGGCTCTTTGGAAAGCATGCCTTTTAATTCAGGGTGTGCCTTGTACTTCTGAAAAATAAAATCAGCAATTTTGGACTTCTGCTCCTTGATTTTTCTTCTGTGTTCTTGTGCATGTTTCCCAAGCTTTTCTTCACTGCCTGTTTGTTTAGCAGGTACAAAATGTGCTCTTGTTACAACATCAAGAAGGGTGCTCTCTTCCATCAATTTGGCATCCTATCAATAAAAATACAAAATCAAAAATCAATGTAACAGGTTTTTTCTCTCATCACTGAACTTCATACAGTGCAAGGGTTTCTTACTTATTTTAGACCATTCCAAAATTATTTTGCGGTGAAACCTGTAAAAATGAAGCTATACCAAGCAGACACTAGAGGTAATGTTACTTTGAAAATTGCAAAATCATCACTGTTATTTTAAGAGTCTTAACCAATGGATGTTTCGGCAATGCTGCTTTCTTCAGGGTACAAGACTAAATACCGTTAAGACACCAGAGGTCCAAAGGTTTCCACTGATGCTTAATGGAGGTTGGGTGCCTGAAGTATGCCTGCTTCCATTTTTGGCAGCCAGCCTTTAGATGGAATAATGCCCCCAAGGGTGGCACAATGGCACAACCTTCATTCCCCGTCATAATTTTCGAAACACTTGCGAACTTTTTCTTCCCGTCCCTTTCAATGTTGATTGCGAAGACGTTTGTGCCTAAGCAAACGCCTGAAACCAATATTGCGGGAACAGGAGGGACAGAATACACGTATTCATGAAATGACTAAGTTTACGTTGTGTTTTCTGGAAGTGTTTCAACAAGTCATGATCGGGATTGTAGCCATGAGCCCCACACAAAAAGAACACAAAAACAGGCACCCATCACACTGAAAAATATCAGTGGAGAAAGAACCATAGCGAGACTCAGAGGAGGGGGGAAAGAAAATGGCTGCAAGAAACCTTGGGGCATGAACAATGCAGCATGAAGGAAAATCTCCCTGCCACTGAATCATGTGAAGGATGTAGCAAACAACTGGGCATGCGCATGCTGAACGACCGCTGACCTCTATCGCTGAAGTCTCTCTTGGTTGTTAACTCCTTTTAATTGCATTTAAATGCATTTTAAAAAATCATAAAACTTACCAAAGATAAAAGTTTAATAAACAGAGCTCTCAATTGTTCTTTTATGCATCTCTGTTGTACTGGAGGTGTCTTGAACGTTAATACTTCCACAGAGTCACTTCTTAGTACTATAACAATAACAAGTTCTCATCAATGAACATCTTGTTTCAAGTTGCTCCACTGACTCTGTAATCCCCCCCCCCCCCCCAACTATTTAGCCTGCAAATACAGTTTTCTTTTCTCACTCGTCACCACTGGGGAGTACCGGACAGTTTGCAGGGAAGATGTCTGCACCTCAGAGAAAGAAATTCCATACTGATGACTTAAATCAATGTTTACATAATTAACAGGGTGTCAATGTAAATTTGTTTGATTTTATGTTTCTTCTGGTCAATAATGGTAAAGTTTTGTGTTCTTCTGCAAAAAAAAAAATCAAATGATTCTTCTTAAGAAGAATATATTCCACAAATACTGGTCACTGTTTTGTGGTAGATCCGTCATGTTTACATCAATCAATCAATCAATCACTCAATTTATTTATGTCAATATGTGGGATGGGTTTGCCTTAATCATCCACACCAGAGGCTCATGTATGAAACGTATGACAATAAATTGACCTTTGTGAAATTTTGTCTTCTGTCTGTTGTAATTATTATAGACCATTCAGAGACCAATAGACCAACCAGAGCTCCAGACCAGATTCAGGAGAGATTAAACATCACCAGAATGGAATTTCTGTTGCTGAGGCACACACGTCTTTTCGGCAAAATGTCCCCAGCGGCAAGGGGCGAGGAGAGACAGCTGTTTCCCTAGGTTACCCCAATTCAGGACACAACTTACCTTTGCTGTGGTCCCATCTGTTTGTGAGTGTCAGCTTGATTGTATTGTTCATGCTGTAACTCAGCTGTTTTCCAGGAGGTCCTAATTCATCTAAAATTATGTGCAATGGGTCATCCTCAGTGAGGGCCTAGAGCCAAAGGAGTGTAAAGAGCATTGGTATGCAAGTTCATAGTCAGAACCCCCAGTTTTATTTATTAACAGTTAATGAATGAGGCTGAGTATCTTATGAAGAATTATGGAGATCGAGGAGGGTGTTATCGGCCGAGGCGGATAACACCCTCTGACATCTCCATAATTCTTCATATGATACGAAAGCCGAATTCAATAATTGTTTTATTATTCATTCAAAATAATTCCTAGTTTAAAAACATAGCTAAAACATGCTTACCTCCATCAATAATATTCATCGATGTTATGTTCATCTTTGATGGTGTACGTTTAGGTTTGTCTAGCTCCACAAATACTCTCCAAATGGCAGATGTCACCCGTTGAGTTGCTGTTCTTGCCATGTTTTTAGCTATTTATTCACCTAGTTCTTACTCTTGAAACAAGTGAAACATCATCATTTCCTCGTTAAACACAAAATTCTTCCAAATTTGGTCATCAGTAACTGGTTATGGTGAATTATGCGTGTGCATAATTTGAATGAATAATAACAAACATTTTATATCACTTTGGACAATAAAATATTAAACTATAATTATTAAACTATAACTATATTATTATTATTATTTAGTGAGTGTGTTCACAACAAAAAAAGTACTGTATAATGTCAAAAATATACTTCTTAAGGCCATCTAGAACTTCTAGAGACTGCTAACCTCTGTGCAGCAGTCACCATTTGAACATTTCCTATAAATAATACACCTGTTTGTCCCCAAAAACTTTTGCACTAGCATTCACCTCAATAACTGAAATGCAAAATTTCAGTCCTCCTTATGCAAGATTTGTTTGAGAATGGAAGACATGGGAAATAAAAATCAGAGATGAACACTTAGGGTTCTTTACAAAACCTCTAAACCCTCTACCATAATAACAATAATAATAATAATGGATTTTATATAGCGCTTATACATCACTGTTCTAAGCGCTTTACAATGTAAAAAAGGACATAAGAATATCATTAAGCACAAGCTTACATACTGTACATATTGTATCATTAGATACAACTCATACGGTCCCCAATTATTATGCTTTATATTATACAACTCACCAGTTCTTCTTTATACTTGAGAATTAATTCATGAATTCTGTACATTTCATTAGGGGTGATGTTTATTTTAATGATCTTTGACAGTGATAAATATTGCTCAATCTAACGAAAAAAAACACATACATACATGTAAATTAATGACAAATTGCATTTAATGATCCTTCATGGTTTTATGGTGGTGCATGCTTGCATTTTATTTCTTTTTTTCTCGCTCATAACACACCAATTTTAACAACGCCCCAAATTTCATTTTGACAGGAACTAGATTCAAAATTCCTCAGACAGGACAAGCTGATGTCACACATCTGTGTTGCTTACTTGGGTGTGTGCTTCACAACCTCACTTAAGCTCCCTTTGCTCAGTTTGGGGTAACCAACAAACTTTTACACTCTGTAAAACTCAAAAAAAGGTCAGAGACTCTTTTCCTTAATTCTTATGTAAATGACAGTATTTGTATCTCAGCTGCTTTTCCACAAAATACAACGTACAAGCAGCATTGGAACACATCCTCAAAATTCAGAATAACAACAAAACAATATACACTTACCTCTAAGGTTTCATAGAAATCTGTAATTTTATTAAAGTTAATTAATTTTGTTAAAAAGTTCTGCAATAAAACAAAATAGAATAAGTAAGCAGTGATACAATAAGTACTGTTTAAAAAAAGAGCAGGAGTGCTTTATCAGGTTTAAAACCTTGAGCCAAAGCCGAGAGTTTCTAAACCTGATAATACGTGACTGCAAGTTTTTTGAACGGCTTCAAAACGTCTGATGTAGATCAACTCATTCTTGCACTGATATTTAGATTTGGGGTTATTTTGTTCTAAAAAAATTGGATGTAATGTTTAGCCCTGTATTTATCAAATATATGTAAGGACACTCATTAAACATTAATTTCTTTTGTTTTTCTTTATGAATCATTGATGAGCTTTAGAATTAACTGTAAATTCTAACTTCCTCAAGTACTAATGATAGCTGTGGTCACACTACAGACTTTTACCTAGGTAAAACAGATTTACCTAGGGCAAATTCATCAAAAATTTCCCAAGGTAAATTCATCTCGGGTTTTGTTTTACCCAGGTAAAAAATTCTGGGAAGGTCACACTACTGATATCGGCTCCCGAGGTTTTCATGCACAGTTGAATTTTTTGGCGAGTAAATTCAAGAACGCAAGATTCTCAGGGATCTAGCTGATCAAAGAGAAGTTTTTCCTTTTTATCTCGGTGTTGTTTCTTATGTTAATTTAATGTGCAACGTGAAGACAGGGAAAGACGTAGACAACTTGTGCCCAAAAAGAGTTTTTCACAGCGTGAGCTATGTCCGGTTCTGTCATCAAGACCTTTGTCGATGAGCGGCTATTGGCTAGCAACCTCGGTATTTCATTTTTCCCTAGCTATCACTTTGGGGTAGCTGTCAAGGGAAACTCTATTGTTCCTGAGACATGTTCAAGCCGCAGACGATAAAATTTCCCCGAGGTAAGTTACCTAGGGAAAAATCGGTCACACTTGAAAAATCAACTTTCCCTAGGTAAACTGTCAACAAGTCGAGTCTACCTAGGTAAAAAGTCTGTAGTGTGACCACAGCTAATTAGTATATAATTATTATAATTTCAGTAATCAATAATTTATCACAATTTATTGAACACAGTTTTTAAACAGCACTTAACTTAGCCAAGAGAAAATTCCTACCTGTATTTCATGAACATGTCTCATTGCAAATGGCTGCAATGGATGCATGTATTCTTCCTTAAAATGACTGTTCACTACATGCTTGTTAGCCATGCTTTGCAACAGTTTTGCAATCTACATGAACCAAAAAAGGTGCAGTTAACAACTACATTGCTAAGTGGAGGTTGGGTGCCTAAGATACCCAGGAGCTTCCACTATTGGCAGCCAGCTCCTAGATGGAGATCGCTCCCATGGCTGGGAAATCCTGGCGACCCAGCCATGAGCCCCCACGTGGCAGGGAAGAAAGCAGGCACCCGTCACATTGAGAACATCAGTGGAAAAGGGGGAAGGAAAGACGGGGAGGAAAACTGAGTCCCCATGTTTATGATACACCCACGCTGAATGAAGCACACTAAAAGTTGGTGAACACACAAAAAAGGCTGAACGCTAAATGCACTAGACAACGCTAAGATGCACACAGGTCCCACAGCATGACGGATCTTGGTATTTGTCATCTCGCACACACCGCTGGCAAGCAGGGTGACACAAGCGCTCCTTACTGTTAACTCTGTTAAACTGCATTTGACTGCATTAAATTAGCACTGAATGACAACAAACAGGAACATTACTAACAAATTCTCACAGTGCTGTACTCTAGAGGTGCCTGTCGGCCCCTGCCACCTGACTTTTGCTCTAAGGCAACTAGAAAATTGTAGTTCATTATACAAATTACATGCTGGCCACCCTAGATTTTACAGGTTAAGAGCATTCCGCTCCCTTCAAAATTCTTCAAAGCACACAGCTTTACTTTGGAAAATACCCTTCTAAGTATGCTGTGGACAACAATACCCAAAACACAAGGTAAAGAACAATACTGTTCAGCAAATCATTATGAATCATTAATTATACCGTACTTACCAAGGTTAAATTCCTTCGAGCACACTGGCTTGGTGCTTTACTTACAAGCATATAAGCTGCAGAGAGGAGAGTGCTTTATTAGGGGAAAAACACTGCCTAGAAATTCAGATGATGATACAGGTAATATATACAGTGCATAGGTAGCAAAAGCCAATACCAGTACTGCAAAGAAGAAAATTCTTCAACTGAAATGTCCTTTTTGCTTGTGGATTATCCATGAGTATTGTGGGGAATCTGTATGCAAATTTGTCACTCACTCATAACGGGAAGTTCAATCAACATAATGAATTCAACAATTCTGTTTAACACTAGCTGTTGGGCACAATAGATAACGTGTTGACCTTACACATCAAAGGTCAGGGGTTCGACTCACGCCATAGGAAACATTTTCTTACTGTTTTTTTTTTTTTTGGGGGGGGGGTTGTTTTGTTTTGTTTTTCTTAAAACAAATTTTCATTTTTTGACAGACTTGAAATATAACAGTACACTAATTGAAAGTTCATTATCAGCTTTCATTGCTACAATAATTAATCCATGAGTAGCCATAGGCAACCTTTGATTTTCTATATTAATAATTTACTAAATAATATTATACTGTCTAATAAACATGTCTTAAGAAGTTCAGTACCATTTGGAGTTACAATTGCTGGATTCAAAAACCTCAAAAGGAAAAATCCACCAATAAGAGAATTGATATGGGTATCATCCACATTGGGATATTTCTCCTGCAGAGAAACATAAAAAGTTAATTTTCAGCAAGTTATGACCCTCTGCCCATACCTGAAGCCACATCGATTGGCTATGCCAAGCAACTGTTCAAAGTGAACAAATTTATCTCAGAAACTATGAATAATAAAACGAACTGTGTGGAGTAATGTTCAGTGTACATTGATGGCTCTCAAACCATTATAAATACCTAATAATAATTATTTTGTTTTTTATCATCATAACTACTATAACTGACAATATGTTTGAATCAAAAAAATAATGAGGGTAAACAATTATCTGTCTGTCATCAGTGTAAACTATTCATACCTCCACACCAACCTTATCTGTCAGCATTTTCCAGTTTAGTTTAAACTTTTCTATTTTTAGTTTGTGGAAGTTGCCAGCTAAAAAACCATGTGTAAACCATCAAAATGACAGCCCAAATTTCTATAATTAAATAATTTATAATTCTGACCTTGACTAAAGTGACAATAGTACAGCATAGCCATCTGATGCCATAAGGAACTTCAAGTAAGGAGTTTGTTATTGCCTTCACAAACTTCGATGTCATTGTCATGATCTTTGTAATACTTGGACTGTGTTAAGGATCAATGCAAGCTTGAGGAACTCAGACATGGTTATGTGACAAAAACGCTTTCAAGAAAACTGTTCATGTCTTATCTTGTCAGTCATATAATTTGTAAGAACATTATTCCCACAAGGACAACACCAATAGGGTGAACTTAACAGCTATCAGATGCCATTTTTTATTGGGACGGGAGTGGGGGTGGAAACCCCCCAAGATGATGAAAAACAAGGAAAGGACGGTGAAGTTGTCTACAAGAATATCAGTTCAAAACTGAAATGAGACAAAAACTTGGCTTTATCAAGTGAGTCGGTAAGTTAACAGACCATTGTAAAATTTAAGGATCAAATGGTGATGTTTTAAGTCTTAGCCTTTTTCATGTAAATTGACCTTATCATCACCGTTGATAAAACATATATTTTCATTTTTGAGTCACTCCCTCAGTGACACAGCACCACTGCTCTGAGTAAGACACCTAGCACAAACTACATGAACGATAAAACCTGTAAAAAGGATATGATCTCGTATTTTGGTTTGAACACCAAAGTCATCCATGGCCTTTAAAATCACAAAAGAATAGGCTAAGTTAGGCTGAAAGAATCATAAATTTAAATGAGTCCTAGAGTCATGATCAACCTGGTGCACAGATAGTGCAAGTCTCCTCCCCTCTTTCCACACTAGTTTCCTTTCATATGGAGTCATTTCAGAACTCCCTCTGTCAGGATGTTTTTTGGCACAACTGTAAGTCTCTACCATTAAGGTTCTCTGATTGACAGTGCCTGATGCCTGCCATGGTTTCTCCTGGTTACCTTCCATGATCACTTTCAGCTTCCAGGGTTTATCCAGCCACCATCCTCACACCCATCTATTGGTGATGGGTTTAAACACAGGCCAAATGAAAATTAAGAAGAATAAAAGGGTACTGTAAAATTCCAAAAATAAGCCCCTCCTTGTATGAGCCTAACAAACTCGTAATGCAAAAAACCCTCCGTTATACCGCTCTTCCGAGTATAAGCCCCCTGGGGGGCTTGTACTTGGAAATTGCCCTCAAATACAAAGTAAAACAAAGCAAAAACCGTAAATTTCCTTCCAAATGTAAGCTAGCCCAATGGATTTTGAAACGCAAATTTCCCTCCGTAGATAAGCCCCTCCGAATATAAGCCCCTCCTAAAATAAGCCCCTCAAAAAGGTCCTTTGAAAAATAAAAGCCCCGGGGCTTATTTTCGGAATTTTATGGTATCCTAGGACAGCAAGCAATGCCACTAAGGATTGAAAACAAACGAAGTGTTCAACATACTTTCTCCATGGTCAACTGCTGCCCAGATACCGAATTTCTTAATGTGCCACCGTGATACAACTCAGCATACACCTGTTGCAAAGGAGAAACACTTGGTCACAACTTCCTCTACAATATGGTGCACATAATCCAGGATAGCCAACAATGTTTTTACCTTCAGTGGGTTAATTTCAAGCACTAAATCATGCTGTTCAACAACATGGTTGATGAGTTCTCCAAGGGTTGATTTAAGATACTCTTGACCAGGTGCTCTCCTGAAAGAAATCAACAGAAAAAAGAATAAGAAAAGAATTCAAATCTATATGTAGAGTACTTATCTACCAGCACCAAGTGTTTTCAACTAGTGCTGAGAATCTGCTGATAATCAGGAAAAATTAAATCGACTTTACCAATCCACAGACTGATTAAAAACAGGAAAATCACATTTTAAGAATTTTTTTGTTTTTAAGCTGTGTCAGTCAAAAAAATTTTTTGGGCCACTTACAGATTAAGCACAGCCATTCTGCCATGTCAGAACATGGCAAAAACATCATGAAATATATCAGAATAGGGACTTCAAAGAATTATACATGTATGTAGCTACATTAAGAGTCCAATAAGAACAAAAAACAACAGAAAATGACAAAAACCCAAGTTTTAGTATCCTTATAATTTGTTGTCAATACCTTCCCCTCCCAATTTTCCATTTATGTTGTGGTAGATTAATGGTGTAATTGGCTGCAAGTAAGTACTGAATTAAAAATGATTTATTGTTGTAAGAAAAAAGAGAGAGTTGACAAAAGTGAGTAACTAGAAATGACTGACATATACCTTGTGTATGTTGTCACCATCCTGGTGATGGCTGTGTTGGCGCGGAGGAGACTGTTAAAATTCTCTGACTCAGAAACTTCATACTTCAAAGCCAACTAAAGAACCAAATTTGTAAATTTTACATATAGGAAAAACCAAAAATTAATCTTGATTACTGTTGAGCCAGGCAGTGTACTCTATAACCTCTATGTCTCATATTTTCTTCACACAATTTCTTCCATTATAATTGAGTAGAGACCATTCACCATATAAGGACAGTATTATACTATGTTACTACTGCATGTTTCTTTATATTTCATATTGTATATATTTCACTTAGTAATTGGAAATTTTGACAGTACATGTATTAATGGTGGTAAATTTACTGAGAGCAACTTAGAGTGAAAGAGATTACATGTACGGTGTATGTACTAATAATATGATCGATAACCAACCTGAAACATTGTCAGAAGAAGATGTTCCTCCCTTGGTTCACATTGGTTGCCATAAAGTGAAAACAATACCGGTTGTAATAGATCTAAAAAGAAACAAAAATAAATTAACAAAGTTGTCATTTTTTTCAACATAAGAACAAAGGCAAAAGAAAACAACGCTGAATTGAAAAACAATCTTTTGTTATCACGATCAGGGCCATATTTGAGTACATGATTGTAAGCCTACTTAGTCTGATTCACAGGTGAAGAAAATTCAAGACTTTTCAAGGACATGCACAGCAATTTAAGGATTTTTCAAGGAGTTCCCCTAAAATTCAAGGACTTTTAAAGACTGTATGAACCCTGTATGTTTTTCCAAGTGAAGTCCCAATGTTAGGGAATTAATTGGAGAGCTTGCAAATTATAGAGGAAACTTTGAACATCCCACATCCAAGAAAATATGACAAATGGTCTCACCATCAATTTCTTTCAGAGAGACAATTCTTGTGAGCTGAGCCAGATAGGAAGCTTCCGTTTGAAGAAGAAAAAAGAGATTTCCATATTTCTACAGGTTTAAAGGAAATGCACACATTAATTATTTTATCGAAATTTTATTTAACTGTTCCTGTCCTCTAAAAACAAAGTCTGATGCTGAAAAATTCTCTGACAATAACATTAACTACCATTTTCTGCAAGCAATGCATGCAAGTTTACACAGACTGGAGAAAAATTAAAACAAAGTCTGAAACTGGCATTAAAAAACAACATAGATGTCAAACTAACTTTTACACGTTTTATTACCTCTTGCTGAGTGTCATCACTGTGTGCTACTTCTAGAATAAAAAAAAGGAAAAATAACATTTAATAAAAATGGATGGCATGGTGATTATACAGGTCTTTTATATTTCCAGTTTGAACTTTTATTTGTACCTTTAATTCTATCCATTAATTATAGATTCAGCAGATTCAGAAGATGCCAATTACAGGGGAAATGCAGAAGGGCAAGAGTATGACTAAATTACTGGTAATTTTTTTAGGATAAAAGAGAGAATATAAAATGGAGGAAATGGGAAAACACACAGTTAATATTACAGTCTCTTTGGTAGTTCCTAGTTCCTCTGGAGTAGATCTAAAGGGCTACCTTGGGTAACTATGCACTCCCACCATACTTTACACGTTCCCCTTCTTACAACAGACACAGTTTTTCCTTTTGATCCCAGATAAACTTCCCCCTCTCATCCCAGAAACACTTTTTCCTTCCTGCCCCATGTACACTACCCGCTTCCCACACCAGGTCCCTTCTAACTTATTATATCAGATACAATTCCCCCTCTTATCCCTGGTACACTTCCCCCTTTCTATTCCAGAGACACTCCCCTCATCTAAGCCGAGACACACTTTCCCCCTTCTCATCCCAGGACACTTTTTATCCTTTACACCCCTTCTTACTCCAGATAACAGGCACCTTTCCACTATGGACCCTAACCATTTAGACCAGATAAGGTTTTACCCCAAAAACTTAATTCTTCTTCCTTATCTCACTTACACTCCCACACAGACTTCCCCATTCTTCTGCCAAACACACTTCCTATTTCTTAACCTAAAGAAATACAATTCCCTCTTCCCACCCCAGATATGGTTTCCCTTCTTACCCCAGATACACTTCCTTCCTTTCACCCCCAGCTATTGTAAGGCATTTGCTGCTTTCCAAGAAAAAAGTGACAAATGCTTGACAAATGCTCCCCAGTTATGAAGAGGGATGAACATGCCGCGAGAAACTAACCCAACATATCGTTATGTGGATTTCCACCACTGGCAGAGATTGCAGTAATATTTTTAACCATAAAATACTGTAGATTTTCTGTAGCTACTTCTTATTTGATAATGATATCATTTACTGCACCAGGCCCAAGATGATCAAAAGGTGGCCTGTTTCAGGCATTCAGATAGTGGAGCCTGGAGCGAAGTAAGAGAGGAAAAAATAAGAAGGAGGGGAGGGAACACCTTTGAAATATTATTAGTTTTGAAAAGGTCATTTTGCCCACTCTGTCAGGCTAGTAATCTGGCCTAAGGGTTTGGTCTTGATAAAAGTTGTCAATCGAGCAACAGGTGACAGATCATGCTGTTTAGCAGAGAAAGTGGAACAAGTGTTACTTCACAGTTCTTTTATTATTAGTGTTAAGGAAGTATAACGTTTAAAGAAAACAAATATAAAAGGTTTTTCTGAATACATTCTTATTTTTGAAAAATAATTCTAGTAAACAGTAGACTGCTTGCAGTTCGCCTTTTCTCTTTAAATCCATCCTTTTCTTATCTGAGCCCGCACGATTGCAAACCACAATGTTATGTTACAATAAGGGATTGGGACGAGACAAGAAAAGACAGACTGCCGACTCCTTTGTAGTAAACAAACTCTCTCTCAGCCCAGAAATGGAGTAAACCATTGGTCAATTTTAAAGCTGTTGACTGGTCTGTGGTGAGATTGCAAGCCATAAAAATAGTCATGCGTCACAACTAACTACAAACAATAACAAACCGAGCAGTTATTGCTTGTAAACTAAAACTTTTAAGGACATCTTACAGAAGAAAACTGCTGTAAATTTCCTCAAGGGAAAGGAATTCAAGGTATTCTTACCAGTTTAAAGAAAATGTAATTTTTCAGTAGTTTATTTTCTATTTATAAATCGTTTAAAGCTACCGGTACTTGGGTGTAATTGGTTAATTAAATTACCTTGACAGAACAAAAGAGTCAGCAGTCTCTTCTATTTCTTATTGGGCCTACGCCCTCGTTAATCGCAGCTCTCATGCCTGAGTTTCGCATGCAGTAAGTTTACAAATAAAAATAAGAGACTGCCCATAGTCTAGGTGAACAGCTTCTGTCCATTTCTTTGTGATTATATTCTTTGAATTTTAGGCTGCTGTTTGAATTTGTTTGTTGGTGAAAGCATGATCCACACTTAGCTTTGGAAGATGTGTGTTAACAGGGTTCGTACTCTTTTGAGTTCTTCAAATTCAGTGACTTTCCATGACTTTTTCCATGAACTTAGGTTTAGCTGTCATTTTCGAAAATTTTCAAAACTTTAATTGTTTTAGCATATTTTTTTAGTACTATAAACAGTTCAACAGAAACAAACTCTGCTATCCACCAAAATGCTTGCCGTTCATGCTGTTTAATATTATTGCTGCTCTTAATTTTACATTCTTTGTCATCTGCAGTAACTGATCTACCAAATAAAACTTTAATTTTCCACAACTTCCAAGGACTGACAATTAAATTCCATGACTTTCCAGGCCTTGAAAATGAAATTCTTAAATTCCATGAATTTCCAGGTTTTCCATGACCTGTACGAGCCCTGGTCAAGTTAATAAAGATCTCAAAATTTAAAATAACAGAGCACATTCCAGGACTGGGTTATTTCTACCTTTCCACAAAAACCAGCTCTTAAAGTATCAAGATGAATGTTTTGACAGCCAGCATTCAGGACTGTCAGGGTGAACATGTAGTCATATTTTCTTTTCTTCTGAATTATGGGGGGGAGGAGAAAAATATTGGATGTAAAAGGGGGGGAGGTCACTAAAAATTCCTTCAAGTTTTGCAATGATGGCATCTGCAATTGTGCAAACAGCCTACCACAATGCCAAAAACCAGTGTCTGAATGGTGCCTAACAAGTGCTACTACAGGTATTCCTTGGCTCTCACCAGCCACCCCTCCACCCCTCATTTTTTCTCCTGCTCACATCTCTTTGCACAAGGCTATTCAAAACGTAGATAAGGCTATCATTATCCAATAGTTCACACAATTGGCGGGTTTTCTTCGATACAGATGGCTGGATAGTGAAGTATGTGCTTAAGGCAACGTTTGAGCAACCAGGGCCTGGATGTTTTCTACACAATTTACAACATATAGCTGTCACGAGGGAAAGCAATATCTTTGCATGGAAATTTGAAAAGGGCAAAATTAAAGTAAAGGGATAAAAGGAGACAATTTTAAAATGTCTTGTGGGAAAATATAAAAGAGCCTCAATTAACCTTTCATTTTCGAAGTCAAAACTATAACCTCGAGTCACGAGAGGTCGCTTTATGTTTACACTTGTTAAATAATAAATAGTAAAAGAATTGTTCATGGAAGGTACACAGGTTATTGTTAACTCGCACAATAGAGAGAAAGGAAGAACATCCGAAAAAACATGACATTTTGTGTCGTATGTATTTCCGTTTCCCGCCGGGTGGGAATGTGCTGCATTCTTCACCAAATTATAAAACGGATAGACTTCGGATGTGCGAAATGAAAGGCTTAAAGTTTAATTCCTTTATCCGTGAAGTCAACGTTTAGCGCAACTCAAGAAATGAAAAAGAAAAGCAGCGGGAACTGAAAGCTGAAACGCGTCTTATCATAAGATTTACAAAAAAATTACGATGTCCAGACGCGATTCCCCCACAAAACGAAATAAAACATTAATGAGTATATTGGGGTTTAATATAATAACAGCTTACCATGTTTTCTCTCCAATTCTGTAAAATTATCGGATGATTCCTAAAAGAACGGAGGGACATTGTTTGAGTTAAATGTGTGGGCTTTAATGTGCAGCACAGCTGTACGTCAAGTCTGTGAGTCTGTAGAACTTATCAACAAAAATTTAGCCTACCTCTGTGGCCTTCTTGTAGTTTATTAGTAAGCCAATACGTTGATCAAACATTCGAGCTTCCCTCTCCAATTCATAGTTCGCTTTGCTTAGCTCCGAAATTTGATTCTTCAGCACTTTTATCTGCCTGTGGACTGATCGAAAACGCAATATAAATCGTCATGATTCACACACGTATCAAGATATTTCCACATCTTTGAAGCGATAAGAGATATAAGACAGTTGAAAATCGCCGCCAACCATGTCGAACCAATAAACTTTCACGTACTTGCACTTTCGTGTGGCTTGTCCTCGTCTAATAGACGCGTCAAATCTTCAACAGACGCCATGATGAACCCAAAAAAACGAATAATCCTCTCAACTTGATGTAAGCAACTTGGCAATGAAATGAACACGCGGTCGCTTACGGTGTGATGGGGTCGACGCGAGCAATGACCCCGCGTTATCACGCATCATTGATAATTCTCGCTCTAAATCAGTGGTATTTTATCTAAGGCAACACCTCATGAGCTTTTCCTGTTAAAAACTTCTTAAAAACGCGCATAATGCGGTCGAAAAGCCTTTGCTACAGTCGCGCACCCATGCTCGTCCGGTAGGATGTTCGCATGGTTTGGTTCTGTTTTGGCATGTGACTCAACATTGCGAAAAGCTGATTGGCTGATGGCACTTTGTCGCACAATTTTACTTCCGATTGACTCCCAAGGGGGCGGGAAAACAAACCGGAAGAAAGTGAAATTTGAAATTCCTACACATGTTGGATGCCGTCGTGTTTCACAGCTTGCTTCAAAATGCAATAGGTGTCGTTGATTATTGGTGCAGAAAAAAAGTCTCATAAAAGCCATAATAACAAGACTTTATTTCAGGGGAGATGTCAGTCAAACAGCTCTTTTTTTTACAATTTTGATACCCTTACAATATTGTTAATTAATAACTGAGTCGAATTTCGCTTTTCTGGTCACTTTGAACAAATTGTGTTTGTTAAAATTATGTAAATCCCACAAAGCATTACTCCGAAAACGGATGAAAAATGTCATATCTAACAAGCCGCATCAGAAAAGATTCAAAAAATAAACGCACAATATAGCATCCAGCAGTGGATCGGCGCCTCTACTCTTAGGGTATTGATTGCTTATTTACACTTGGAAAGCCCACCTTCGCACTTGTGGGCGAAAACAACAGGCAAAAAAATTTCCTAAATTAAATTACAAAATTATTCCGACAAAGCCCATTAAGAGGAGCGATGTTTCGAAGAAATAATAGACCGTGAGTTGTAGAAAAATATACCGTTTTTTGTTTTTGTTGTTGATCTTGTATAAGATCGTAACGAAATCACAATATTAATCCTTTTAATGATGATGAAAAATAATAAAAGCGCTCTTGAACATCGCTCAGATTAGCAATAATAACAGCTGGATCCCCGCCCAAGCCGAGGCAATCATAGCACAGGTGATTATGCGGATGGCACAGTTGGTCCTTCCTACCAGGTGAAACTGTTTTCTTTTTTTTAATTTTCAGTCAGAGTAACCTGGGTTGGTTACTTCACTACGTTCATACTGAAATCAGACAGTTAAATCACCCATATTCAAGGATCTTAGTCAGTGTCAATATTTGAACTAGTTACAGATGCCAGTTTGTAAACTGAAACATTAGAAGGAAACATTACATCTCAATTTGTATGAAAAAAAGGAACGATGCGACTCAGAACAGAATCAAACTTCTGACAGCCAATCAGATTTTAAGGATCTGAAGTGATTTTAAAATGGACGAACAAACGCCACTGCGAGTAACATCTGTGACAAACTTCCGGGATGAAAAGTTGTTGAAAATGTCAACTGTGGACTGAAAAAAACATTTCCGCTAAAACCAAGGTGGCAACAACCAGATTACCGATAATAAGTGTGGGAAAAAAAGCGTCCAGAAAAATTTCATCTATTTTTTAAAGTAACCGGAAGAAAGTATTGATCAAGTTCTCGAAATAAAACTCGAAAAAGTAAGAAATCTTTAGATATATATTTCAAAAGAGTTCCAATATTTCCAGGCCGAACTGAAATGCTGTAAAGATTTTGTTCCATATATCTGATTATATTGGCAATATTGACCATGCCCAATATCCGATTATAAATGGGAACGCAATACTAAAAGTATAAACGTGACGTTTCTCGGATAATGTAATCTCATCCAGAATTCGCGACCTTCGTTTGTGATGCCTTCCTCGGCTCCTGTATATTTATGAGTATTGTACTATTTAAGATCCGATTTACAGGTCGAGAGCCATTATACAAAGTCCCAATTTTGTATGATGAAGCTTAAGGTAATATTACTGGGCCTGTCATGTCATTAAAAATAGTTTCCAAACTTATCCAATACGCACTTCTTCAGAAAAAGAATTTGTCGCGTGCGTTGGAAAACTGCATTTTGAACTTTATTTTAACAATCTTAACCAAATATCAATGTCCATGTCGTAACAAGTGGTCTTTTTTTTTTTCTTTAATTCAAAGTCGTAAAATTTAACTGAAAAGATAATTGAAAAGGTTGTGAATATAACAATAATTTGTCCAATTTTACTAGTATGGCCTAAAACATTTCTGCGTAATGATCTAACAGCTGAACTCAAACCATTCAGGATCCGGCTTTTCCTATCAATCCTTGTATACCTTTTTAGTATCCATTTCTAAATCTATTAATCTTTAGATTCCAGCCCTTTACTACGGACCTCTTCAACTAGCAAAAATTCCCCGTGACTTCCATAATGATCAAAGGTAACATAGCGTCCATATATTATCCCATGATTACAGTATCATATGTTTGACGGGCAGCTCTCGTATGTTTGTTGAAACATGCAGCCCCACCTTAACATGAAAAGAAAACATCTTATTGCATGCCACCTGCCTCAACTTATGCAGTCATAGCCCTACGACTTAAAATAAACTCCCCGTAGAAAAAAACCATCCAATGAAATGAGCATGTAATCTCCTGCTGGCAAGAAGTAGCAGGAAAAAAAGCGGGCTGTAGAGTCTGAAGAGCGCTTAGTCCCTAGGGCTCTCCCCCCTTGGGCGGAGCGCTTAGTCCCTAGGGCTCTCCCCTTGGGCGGAGCACTTAGTCCCCAGGGCTCTCCCCCTTGGGCGGGAGTCCCCAGGCTCTCCCCTGGGCGGAGCAGTCCCCAGGGCTCCCCCTTGGGCGGAGCACTTAGTCCCCAGGCCTCCCCTTGGGCGGAGCACTTAGTCCCCAGGGCCCTCCCCTTGGGCGGAGCACTTAGTCCCCAGGGCCCTCCCCTTGGGCGGAGCACTTAGTCCCCAGGGCCCCCCCCCTTAGTCCCCAGGGCGGAGCACTTAGTCCCCAGGGCCCTCCCCTTGGGCGGAGCACTTAGTCCCAGGGGGCCCTCCCCTTGGGCGGAGCACTTAGTCCCAGGGCCCTCCCCTTGGGCGGAGCACTTAGTCCCCAGGGCTCTCCCCTTGGGCGGAGCACTTAGTCCCCAGGGCCCTCCCCTTGGGCGGAGCACTTAGTCCCCAGGGCCCTCCCCTTGGGCGGAGCACTTAGTCCCCAGGGCCCTCCCCTTGGGCGGAGCACTTAGTCCCCAGGGCCCAGGGCTCTCCCCTTGGGCGGAGCACTTAGTCCCCAGGGCTCCCAGGGCCCCCCTTGGGCGGGGCTTAGTCCCCAGGGCCCTCCCCTTGGGCGGAGCACTTAGTCCCCAGGGCCCTCCCCCTTGGGCGGAGCACTTAGTCCCCAGGGCCCTCCCCTTGGGCGGAGCACTTAGTCCCCAGGGCCCTCCCCTTGGGCGGAGCACTTAGTCCCCAGGGCCCTCCCCTTGGGCGGGGCGGAGCACTTAGTCCCCAGGGCCCTCCCCTTGGGCGGAGCACTTAGTCCCCAGGGCCTCCCCCTAGTGGGCGGAGCACTTAGTCCCCAGGGTCCCCTCCCCTTGGGCGGAGCACTTAGTCCCCAGGGCCCTCCCCCCCTTAGTCCCCAGGGCTCTCCCCCTTGGGCGGAGCACTTAGTCCCCAGGGCCCCTCCCCTTGGGCGGAGCACTTAGTCCCCAGGGCTCTCCCCCTTAGTCCCCCTTGGGCGGGCACTTAGTCCCCAGGGCCCTCCCCTTGGGCGGGCCTTAGTCCCCAGGGCCCTCCCCTTGGGCGGAGCACTTAGTTAGTCCCCAGGGCCTCCCCTTGGGCGGAGCACTTAGTCCCCAGGGCCCTCCCCCTTGGGCGGAGCACTTAGTCCCCAGGGCCCTCCCCTTGGGCGGGGCACTTAGCCTTAGTCCCCTTAGTCCCCAGGGCTCCCCCCTTGGGCGGAGCACTTAGTCCCCAGGGCCCTCCCCTTGGGCGGGGCACTTAGTCCCCAGGGCTCTCCCCTTGGGCGGAGCACTTAGTCCCCAGGGCTCTCCCCTTGGGCGGGCACTTAGTCCCCAGGGCTCTCCCCTTGGGCGGAGCACTTAGTCCCCAGGGCTCTCCCCTTGGGCGGAGCCTTAGTCCCCAGGGCTCTCCCCTTGGGCGGAGCACTTAGTCCCCAGGGCTCTCCCCCTTGGGCGGAGCACTTAGTCCCCTTGGGCGGAGCACTTAGTCCCCAGGGCTCTCCCCTTGGGCGGAGCACTTAGTCCCCAGGGCTCTCCCCCCCTTGGGCGGAGCACTTAGTCCCCAGGGCTCTCCCCCCCTTGGGCGGAGCACTTAGTCCCCAGGGCTCTCCCCCCCTTGGGCGGAGCACTTAGTCCCCAGGGCTCAAGAAAATAAGAATATAAATAAACTTACCTTCTTACTTACCTTTTTTTACCTACCTTTTGTCCTTTGTTGTGTTTTTTTGGATAATTGGTTTTGGGCGGTCTTTTGAATCCTTTTTTTTTTGATACCTTGGGGTTTTTTTTGGTGTACTTTATTCTCCATTTTACTTTTATGTGAGTAGAAAGAAGCTTGCCTTGGGTTTTACGTACCTTTCATTTCTTATCACTGTTGCGGTTCGCTTGTTGAAAATTTTGTTGAATGTTTTGTTTTTGCTTTGTATATTTACATAACGAGATTCGATTTGCAAATATATGTTTTAAACATTGTTTTTAATCGGCAATTATTCACAAGCAATTTTAAAGCATGTCTGAAGTTGAACTATTAGTTATTAGTGTTAGTAATAACTGATAGTTCTCCTTATTTTCCAATAATAATTACCTTCTGGTATAAAAACAATGGAGTCGTACATCTCTTATGTGTACGCTTGTCAGTATCGTTCGTAAAGGTCGGCAGAAATCGTTTTATTAAAGATACCAAACCTGTGGTGTCTTGAAAAAAAAATTAAGATATCAAATTGGAGAAAGCTAATTAATTTCTGCAAATGATCGAGAAATATTTCATAGATATTCGGCTTATCTGATTGCGTTTATGCAAAGAAAAAACATTTACCACAGGTTTGGCATGTGAAAATAATCAATAACACACACAAAGAAGTTGGCTGCAAGTTCCTGTTAAGGACGTTGGCAGTTTTAATATATTATTGTTTTGAAGGCCTTCCTGCATGGCACGGTAATTTTTTTGTTCTTCGCATAATTCTGCACACCTGTAAAGAAATAATACGTTTTAGCACGCGTTGCAATTACCACCATTTTAACTTATTACAAGAATTAACTTTTACTGTT